AAAAAAAAAAAAAAAAAAAAAAAAAAAAAAAAAAAAAAAAAAAAAAAAAAAAAAAAAAAAAAAAAACAAAAAAAAAAAAAAAAAAAAAAAAAAAAAAAAAAAAAAAAAAAAAAAAAAAAAAAAAAAAGATGCCCCCAAGACTCAATTATTTTGATCCTGATATAGCATTATATACATCAACAACTACCTTAAAATTGGTCATAAAGTTGGAAGTTGTCCCTAATCGCCCCATTTTACTGGTACTTGGCAAATGTTCACGATCGACTTCCACAGGAATAATATCGTGTAATAAAAATCAAACCCGCAAAATTATAATTTGTGTAATAACTGGTGGTAGGACCTCTTGTGAGTCCGCGCGGGTAGGTACCACCACCCCGCCTATTTCTGCCGTGAAGCAGTAATGAGTTTTGGTTTGAAGGGTGGGACAGCCGTTGTAACTATAATGGGACCTTAAAACTCATATCTCAAGGTGTGTGGCGACATTTACGCTGAAGATGTCTACGGGCTCCAGTGACTACTTAACACGAGGTGGGCTGTGAGCCCGTCCACTGAACTAAGCAAATAAAAAAAACACGCTAGGGTAAAGCTGATATAGCCTCTCAAGGCTATCAGCATATGTAGGGGGGAAACAAAAGTCTTTATTTTCCATGGAACGAGTTCACGGCTGGACTTAAATGAGGTGGTGATTAGTACACATATGCCGTAGACTGGCATACATGGCGTGCACTGAGAAGATCCGGCGAGAAACACAGTGGCCAAACAAAGATATGAACTGTGGAACGTAAATTACAATCGGTCCGCTAACAACGTTGATTACCCCGAGACTTGTGTTCTGAGAATTTAATGTATATCAGAACATAACGCGTGCGTCAGTCTGGAAGTATGAGTCGACAAGGTTAAAAATGTCCGTTTTCCAAGTTCTCTCGTGGAATTTTAAAGTTAAATAAACAAAACTTGTATTCTGTTTGTTTTTAGTTTCATTCGTAAACAGTTTTACCCTTAACTCACGTAGGTATTCTGTAAAAAGATATTCGGTTGATCAATAAGGATCGGGTTCTAACTTTTTTAAATTAGTTGCTATTTAGCGTACTGGTCGTCTTGCTGGGAATCCTAAATCGGGAACGGATGACCGTGAGTGAGTGGTTTCCAATTATTATTTTTCATGACCGGATGTCACGTAACAATTGATGATTGTGATGCGTGCGATTAATTTGCAACGAAAACGAATATACTTGAGTCGTCTATTATCAAAGGTGGCAATCTGTGCATTTGGACAAAAAAATGTTATTGATATGTCAATACAGATTGGTTTGAATATAATCGTCTCCTTCAAAGAATACGGTTCAAAACCTGCATTAAATAAAGGTTAATAGTTAACCTGTTATTTATCTAAGATGTCGTTCCGAAGAGTTTTGTGACTGCCAATGGAATACAAAGTCAATAATTCGTTTTTCTGATTTACCAATAATTGTCCAAAAGTCAGATTGCCGGCTTTGANGATTTGAATATAATCGTCTCCTTCAAAGAATACGGTTCAAAACCTGCATTAAATAAAGGTTAATAGTTAACCTGTTATTTATCTAAGATGTCGTTCCGAAGAGTTTTGTGACTGCCAATGGAATACAAAGTCAATAATTCGTTTTTCTGATTTACCAATAATTGTCCAAAAGTCAGATTGCCGGCTTTGATAATAGTCGACTCACTTTATCTATTCAGGTATATTGATCACATATTTGAAGAATTGGAAGAGTTCCGAGCCTTCGAACTACTGAGGTCCGGACTGGATCGGTCCAAGTACTTGTTGGTCAAAGAAGCGAAAATAATCGCGATGACGTGCACGCACGCCGCCCTCAAACGTTCAGAATTAGTGCAAATGGGTGAGTTTATTATTTATTTTCCAACATTAATTTTTCTACGAAAACATAACCTTGTTTTTGACCTTTTACAGCACACGAAATCGCTGAAGACAGTCGATTTTTTTATGAGATTTTGTGACCTGGTAACTAAGACCTTTAGGTCATGTGTTATTTTAATTTATATTCTTATTCTTATGAAAAATGATGATATAGAGTGGATATAATCTCAGTAAAATGGTGGTCATTTACTGAGATTTTTTCAGTGGACTTTTTGAAGGATCCCGAGAAGTTACGTCCAGTGGCTTTGTTTCATTTTCACACATTTTTGCTCTTTCACAGATATTAAACAGTTAATAAACCACCGTTATTATACATATAAACCTGAAGAAACACTAAATAGACAAAATAAAACAAATCACACAACTTCACTTCTCGCGAAAAAGTCCGAAGACAGTCGTTAAGTTCTGTGAAGCGTCACAGATTTACAAATAGATTAGAAGTGGCATCCGGCAGTTGTTGTGACTTTTAATTTTATCGCGTTAGGTTTCAAATACGACAACATACTGATGGAAGAGTCGGCTCAAATCCTCGAGATCGAGACGTTCATACCGCTGCTGCTGCAGAACCCGCAGGACGGCAGGTCCCGGCTAAAGCGTTGGATCATGATTGGCGACCACCACCAGCTGCCCCCGGTCGTCAAGAACATGGCGTTCCAGAAGTACTGCAACATGGAACAGAGCCTGTTCACCAGAATGGTCAGACTGGGTGTTCCGTACGTGGAACTGGACGCGCAAGGTCGAGCTAGACCCAGGTATTTATTAAATAAAATAAAAACAAAATCATTTCAATCATTCAAAGTTTCAGATTCTCTGGTAACAATGCTATTTTTTGACCTCAGATGGTTAATATCAAAGGGTGATAGAACCTCTTGTGAGTTCGCGCGGGTAGGTACCACCATCCTGCCTATTTCTGCCGTAAAGCAGTAATGCGTTTCGGTTTGAAGGGTGGGGCAGCCGTTGTAACTATACTGAGACCTTAGAACTTATATCTCAAGGTGGGTGGCCCATTGTACATGGGCTCCAGTAACCACTTAACACCAGGTGGGCTGTAAGCTCGTCCACCCATCTAAGCAATAAAAAAAAACTGACGCGCATACGTTTAGGCCTGAAAGGTAGCTCAACTATATTATGGTATATTTGAAGCTGCCACCTAATGTCTCAAGAAAGGGTGGCGATCTTCATTTTGTGGTGTGCAATTTTCAATATATACAACGTGGGTTTCTGTCCGTACGTCGCAGCATCTGCAACCTGTACCGCTGGCGCTACCGGGCGCTGGGCGACCTGTGCCACGTGACGCAGCTCCCGGAGTACCGCGCCGCCAACGCGGGCCTGCGACACGACTTCCAGCTCGTCAACGTGGACGACTTCAACGGCGTCGGCGAGACCGAGCCCAGCCCTTACTTCTATCAGGTACTCTAGGAGGCAGCAAGGTCATTGCACCTACTAACGCTACTAACTTCTAAACCGCTCTCGATATTTCTTGACAACCCTTCTCGCAAACAGGACTTTTTGGCGGGAACGTAAGAAGTGAAGTTGTGTGATTTGTTTTATTTTGTCTATTTAGTGTTTCTTCAGGTTCAAATGTGTAATAATGGTGGCTTATTAACTATTTAATATCTGTCAAAGTGCACAAATGGGGGAAAATGAAACAAAGTCGCTGAACGTAACTTCTCGAGATCCTCCAAAAAGTCCACTGAAAAAATTTCAGTAAATGACCACCGCTTTACTGAGATTATATTTCATCTCATATCTCATTTCATTTTATTTCATCCCAGTTGAATAATGTCTCAAATTAATCATCTTCATTTAATTTCATTCCATATTATTATTTTTGATAAAAATAAGAAAGTAAATTAAAATAAGACATGACCTAAAGGTCTTAGTTACCAGGTCATAAAATCCATTAAAAAAAAATGTCACAAACAAAAGTTTAACCCTTTTAGTGATGAGCTTATTTTCACATATTGCAAAAATTAAAACAGAATATTTGAAACAAAGTACTTTTAATAAACTTTAACTTAAAAATAAATACAAAAATGCCTCACTTTTTACTACACCACGCCACCAATTTTAAACCATTCTCAATATTTGTTGACAATCTTTCATGTTAAACACATGTCGCAATTAATTTCGCAATTGTCTAATTACCTTTCGTATCTAAAATAATATATTATATTTTATAAACTACGTCACAATAGCTTAACCCTTTTAATGCTGAGCTTATTTTTACATATTTTGCAAAAATTACAATAGAATATTTGAAACAAAGTACCATATACAAAATTTTAACTTAAAAATAAATACAAAAATCAATGCTAAATTCACAGCAAAATATTTTTTAATGGTTGTATATAAATGTTAATAACCTATTAAAACGTTATCCAAATGGGGCACTAAAGCACGTCCGTACAGGTCCACACCTAATTATAATTGCTAAATAACCTATTACTAGAGGTCCCGCAGCAGTCGAAATTCGACTATAATTAATTGGAATTGTAGGTTTGTACACTATTATGATTGTAATTTATACTTCTATAATCACAAATTTCGCCAAGACTACACTATAAAAAATATTAACAAAGACAAACCTTAATCTATTCTCAATTTGACAACAGACGTCAAGAACAAAAGTTTGACAATAAATAGTATGCATGCGTGTGTGCGTCCAATACGTGATATGTAGTGTGTGTAATGTTTTCTTTATTGATTTAATGTATCTTTCATGCATTATTTTAAAAAAATATTAACATTGTGCACTTCTTCTCTATATTCTTTATAAGTGTGGAAGATTTCATACTCCTCCGTCCGCTCAATTTTCGTAAAAAGGGATACAAAGTTTTTGCTTCACGTATTAATATATAGATAATCAAACTGCGCAATAGACGGTATTCCGGCGCTCCGCAGTTTTTACGCCTTAATAGAGAGTCTATCTATCGACTGTTCCCGCTCTATGGGTTAAAAGTTTAATTCTAAATAGATAACGCTCTTTTTTTTGGCAGTTTTTAATTGATGATATAAAAACATTGCCGTAATATCAGAAATTATGCGTGTTATACAATCGACTTTTTTATTGTTATTATTGTATTGATTTACTAGCTTTTGCCCGCGACTTTGTCCGCGTGGAATAGTTCCAAATAATGCTTTATTTTAGAACAAATTTGGTTAGCATCAAAACGTTATAGTGAGCCAATCTTAACATATAGACATATGCTGTCGTGGACTTTTTTTTAGATCTTTTAAAGGGGAACATTTCTGTCATACATTACTTTAGCGAAACTTTAAGCGTTTCAGCAGCGCACGCAGTGAAAGCCCTCAAAAGGGAAAAAGCCCCGATTTTGAAACATTCTTTATTGGTGCTCCGCCTGCATTGGTCTTAGTGTGATGTTATATAGCCTATAGCCTTCCACGATAAATGGGCTATCTAACACTGTAATAATTTTTCAAATCGGACCAGTATAGTTCCTGAGATTAGCGCGTTCAAACAAACAAACTCTTCAGCTTTATAATATTAATATAGATTGGTTACCGGAGCACACGAATATCGACAACGCGAATTCCGCCAGCGACCTTCAACCTTTAGTTCTAAGTCTCAGTTCTGTAATAAAACAGCTGTCCGACCCTTCAAAACGCATTACTGCTACGCGGCAGATCTAGGTATTCTGGTCGTATCTACCCATGTGGGCTCATAAGACTCTCGAGCAGAAATAAAAACGTTTTCCTAGAATCAATTTGTTACAACGCAATGCGGCAGATCTAGGCATTCTGGTCGTATCTACGCGTGCGGGCTCACAAGACGCTCTAGCAGAAATAAAAACGTTTCCTAGAATCAATTTGTTAGAACGCAATGATAAATGTATGTGTACTGTACAAACGGGTCAATGAACGCATACCTCCTTGACATTGAACGCAGAACAACATTGATTGCTTTAAACTCTTCCTACTCGCGGCCGAGTCTGGCTGAAAATAATTCTTCTAAACATTTACGTATTTGTGTAACCTCTAAATATAGAATAGACTTTCAAATTGAATAGGAAACTGTTGAGACAGATGACATACTAACGTTTTGTTTGGCGTAGCATAAGTTAACAGTAAAAAAAAACAATAAGCTAACTGTGTTTTTAAAGAAAACTAAGTAAAAAGCGAATAACTGTGCTATGTCAGTTAAATTTTGTTGAAATGGAAACTTTTACATTACATAGTTACAGTTTCATATTTTTTTTTATTTATACTGTATGAATGACGCGAGAAAAGGACGACGATAATTGACACCAAATTATTTTTATCTGCTTGTCTACATATTGCGGTTATTCAAACATTACGCAATTACCATTCGATCAACTGAACTAGTTTGTAATATCGCACCTTTAGAATTGCAGTGGCTAAAAACTAAAGTGGAAGTCAACTAAATTTTTTTAAGAAAATGAATTAAATACTTCGAACGGCTTATAGAAACGTGTTCTATCAGTTAAAAAAATTAATCGTAAAATGCGAAAGCCGGTTTGGTGGTAGGGAGTCTTGTGAGCCCGCACGGGTAGGTACCACCACCCTGCCCATATCTACCCTGAAGCAGTAACGCGTTGCGGTTTGAAAAATGAGGCAGCCGTTGTACTGTAAAAAACGGAGACCTTAGAACTCATGTCTCAATGTGAGTTTTACGATGTCGATGTCTCTGGGACCCGGTGACCATTTAACATCAGGGGGGCCGTGAGCTCGTTCAAACATATAAGCAATTTAAAAAAAATGTCGTGGTAAGAACCCGGTAAATAATAGCGTCTTTAATAAGAACTCCCGTTTCAAATAAATTCGTGTTATTTATTCCGAATATAACGCTGCCTCCGTTGTTTTGTACACAATAAAAATAGCCACAGAATACTCACGCCACACCATACTACCATGAAACCCGTTTTTATATGAACGAAATTGAAAGTTTAAAGCTCATTTGTATATCCAAGGTCGCGTGTTAATTTAATTCTTATAAAGGCGCCTGTCTCAAACGAACACGCAGGTGGTCGCGAATTAAAGACTTAACAAAACCATTTAATAGATTCGCGTAATTACTATTCGTAAATTATTCGTAATTCTGTCGCGAAGCTATTTCAAATAGGGAATAATTTAATGTACATTCTGTTTTATTTGTTGTTTATTTGTGCGCGATGCAATCATTGTCTGTGGCGTTTAAAAAATGCACATATTTTTAAATCGACGAACAGATGAGATCACGACTCTCTTGATGTCATTTGATTACCTGAGTCCGTGAACATCATACTGCTGCGATATTTGACGGAAGTGTCAATTATTATTATAGCTTTATTTCCACTTAATGCAACTATATAGGTATATGAGATTATAAACTACTTATTTCTTCTTTGTTATGTTGCCCCTTCTTGGGTAAAAGCCTCCTCCATGCTTTTTAACCATTCCCTGTCCTTGGCCAAATGCATCCAACTTGTTCTTGTTATATCAGCAGTCTTTATAATATCATCGAAAAAGTGTCAATACGACTGTTCTACTATTGTTGGAACTGGTACGTAAGAATGTTAGGCAGAGAAATACGGTATGCTAAGAGTCGAAGCTAGGGAAAAGGTATTTGAGTGAAAGGGTATATAGCCCATTTTGAGGCGCTGCTGTTTATACCGGTAGTATGACATTTCGATATAGCGGCACGACACGAGAACCCTCTCTCATCGTGGCCGCCGGTAACTAAATTCCCGAAATATAATCTCAGTAAATTTCAGGTTATTTACTGAGACTTTTTCAGTGAGCTTTTTGGAGGATCCCGAGAAGCTATGTCCAGCGGCTTTGTTTCAGTTTCCCACATTTATGCACTTTTACAGATATTAAACAGTCAATAAACCACCGTTATTACACATTTAAACCTGAAGAAACACTAAATAGACAAAATAAAACAAATCACACAACTTCACTCCTCACGTTCCCGCCAAAAAGTCCCCTACTTGCTCGATGAATCTAATATAACGCCTCGAAATTACCAGAATAGGTAGCCAAAAAAAAGAATCTTACTCGTTCTCTTGTGGATCTTACCTTCGTTGATACCTCCGTGCAATCCGGATAACGAAGCCCTTCACGTTTGCAGAATTTAGCGGAAGCAGAATACGTTGTAGCGGTTTTCATGTACATGCGCCTGATCGGATGGCCTGCAGAGCGCATCTCCATACTGACCACATATAACGGGCAGAAACATCTCATCAGGGACGTCATAGATAAGCGATGTGCCGATAATCCACTCATCGGTCGACCTCACAAGGTGAGTCTTATGATCTGTTTCTATGTTGTTGTTTACTTATTAATAAACTTTAAAAAAAGAGGAGGTTATCAATTCGAATGTATTTTTTGTGTGTGTGTTTTTCATTTGTCCAAGTCAAGCGATTTCTATTTTTTTATTTTTATTTGATGCTTCTCATGTGTCATGACTATTAATCATATTCTCATTTGATTTTGTCGAAGACGGGTTTTTTTGTTTAAAATTTTCATATTTGCCTATCACACTATATTTCTTCGTCACACTAGAAATTAATTTATCATACGATCATGATTTACTTTAATACGAAGATAATTACGTGACGAGTTTTAAAATCGCTAGGTGACGACGGTAGACAAGTACCAGGGCCAGCAGAACGACATAGCTCTAGTGTCGCTGGTCCGTACGAAGGCGGTGGGTCACGTGCGCGACCTGCGGAGACTCATCGTCGCCGCCTCAAGAGCCCGTCTCGGCCTATACATATTCGCGAGGGCCAACCTCTTCAGGAACTGCTACGAGCTACAGCCTACATTCAATCAGGTTCGAACTTACATTTTTTTTAATAAGCCCCTAAATAAAGCTCAGGGATATTCAGACCATACAGCCTCAAACCTAAAATATTATACGTAATGATGAGCTCACAGGGTTCAGACCGAATGTGTTGCTAACACTGGCCCTAGCAAAAGTAGGGCTTCGCAGAATCTACCATCGGATCGGAAACGCGACCCACTCAAAAGATTCGGCGAGAAACTCAGTGGTAGGCAGGGTGGTGGTACCTACCCGCGCGGACTCACGAGAGGTCCTACCATCAGTAATTACGCAAGTTATAATTTTGCGGGTGTTGATTTTTATTACACCATATTACTCCTTTACCGTGGAAGTCAATCGTAAACATTTGTTAAGTACGTATTTCATTAAAAAAATTGGTACCTGGTTGCGGGATTCGAACATCTTATCCATGGGCCACGACGACCCGAATGGCTTGGGGCAGACGTATCAAGTGGACTAGATATGAAGGATGAGCCCTTATTGAACCCCGAATCCCTTGTTATCCAACTACTGGGCATTTATATCTATTTGAAATGACGAATGTGTTTGTATGGCAGCTCGTGGAGCGTCCACTGCAGCTTGAACTAGTCCCGGGCGAGCGGTACCCGGCGCAGCGCGCGGCGGGCGTGGCCGTGCCGCCGGAGCTGCTGCTGTCCGTCCGGGACATGCCGCACATGGCGCGCTACGTCTACGACATGTACCTGCACATTGTCAACGACGCACCCGACGCTCGACAGGTACGGTACCTAAATATGGAACTTTTTTTTTTTGTTTTTTTTTTTCCTAAGCTGGTGGAACACGGAAACAGAGTGAATAGGCTCACGGAAATCCCAGAGTCGGAAGGTCGTATCTCTGGACGCGGTGACAACGAGCCGCGCGTTGTGATGTGCGGACGCATGCGTCAACTTGTGATCGTCATGATAGAACATATTCATATTCATCCAAAACAGAAACAAAAAAAAAAACTATTTACATATTTTCTTTTTCTTTTTGTTTTTTTTTCCTACCTAAGCTGATAGTCTTGAGAGGCTATTTCAACAAGTAGGTGAGCTCACGGGGCTCAAACCTGACGATGTTGCTAACACTATAGACAAATATTATTAAAGACAAACAATATTAATCTATTCTCAATTTGACCAAAGACTTTAACAATAGACAAAAGAGTATATATGCGTGTGTGTATGTCTAATACATGGTAATATGTGTAATGTTTTATTTATTTATTTATTATGTTTATTTTTAATTAGCATTCTGCGCTCCTTCTCTATATTATTTATAAGTGTGGGAGATTTTATACTCCACCCTCAGCGCAATTTTCGTAAAAAGGGGTACAAAGTTCACGTATTAATATATAGATCATTAAACTGATTAAAATTATCTGCAATACAGTCCTGCGTTCCAGTTTGAAGCGTGAGACATTCGTTATGCAACAGAATTGACCTCATGTCTCAAAGCGGCTGGCGGCGTCTCCTTTTAATGTCTGTAGACCTCCACAATCAATTTGTTGCCGTTCTCGATGAACTCTTCTCAGTGAGTCGCGATTCCGATCCGGTGGTAGATTCTGCGAAGCACGGCTCTTGCTACGGCTAGTGTTAGTAAGTTCCCTCAATATGAGCTCGTGTGTTCATTGGAATAACTCCTTAGGCTACATCGCTACAGCGAATAGGAAGAAAGAAAATTTTACAGTAGGGTGACCACAAACTAGTCTATCTAGTACAATAAAAATATAACAGTACGGTTTCATTTATTTTCACAATAAAATGTATATTGTTACCATTGAAGCACTCAAGTAAGCAGACACTATATTTTTTCTATACGAAACCCGTTATAAATATTCAAAATAATATGTCAGTCACGTATCGCTCCAAGCTAGCGTGGATGAGTCGAATTTTAATTTCATTACTTTAACAAAAACAGTAGATCGAATCGCAGACGTGGTGACCCTATTAAAAATGAATACATAACAAATTTATTAGGAACAATAAATTAAGCGAGACCTTGTGTTAAATATAATTGCGTGCTTCGCCCGTTAAATTTGACGATGTGATCACTCGCATCTGATTATTTTTTTAATATTATTATGGTTACGTACGTTGTTTGTGCATGAGTCATAGGTTATAAAATTACAGGTCGCCGTTGTTGGCGCTTACGATCTCAATTTTAAATGTTGTCTCACCGTTGATATCATCCCGCGCATTGATGTGTGGAAAACGCGTGATCAATGTCAATGTTAATAAATAGCCTAAAAAAATACACTAGTGTATGAGGCCATCAGCGCAAAAGTGGCCTAACCCACAATTTTTTTATATTCAAGCTTATATGACGTATATTGGAACTTATTTAAAATATAATAAATTTTGATGCAAAACCGGCCTATCCATAGTTTCACCCATAACAGATAGTTTTGTAAACATTATTTTTGTGTGTATTGTTTTTTGCCTACTCAAATTCAAATTCATGAAAATTCAAACTTAATTGCCTCCATACTAGCTATGGTAAGCTTGGGCCACTTTTGCGCTGGCGGCCTGATATATAACTGATATATCGGTGATAGAATTATGCTTAAAAGCATCGATGCGAAACCCTATTGTCTACCTTTAGAGATACTTTGAAACTTCGTCTGTAAAGTGAGTGACGTATTGCAGGAAAGTGGCTGGCGGGCGCCAGGCGGGCGGGAGGCGGCGCGTGCGCGGGGCGCGGGGGGGCACGTTCCCGCGCACCCCGGCGCCGCGCCCGACAGCGACGACGAGTCGGACGCCTTCACCCCCACCGACATACTCAACGAAGTCGATGAACCGAACGCCGCGAACTCATAACCTCATTGATTCCATTAAATAAATCATTCAATTACCTTAAACATGTATTTTTATTTTGCAATCCATTAATTGACTCACATCGTATATCTTTTCAAACACGCTGAGGCTTAGTAGTGAATGTATTATAGTTATTATAACTCTTTTGAGCGTCTTCAAGACATAATATAGAAAAACGTTTCCAAGAAATTTTTGTTCCGCTGAAATATAAATGACGACAATACCTCGCGTCTAAAATGAATAGAAGATTACGTAAACGTATAATAAGTATGTATGTCAGTCTTTAGTGCCCAAAACACAGGGAATCTTAATTTGGGACCGGATGACTGCGCGTGATTTAGTCCCAGCTTAAAAATGTTTAAAGTTAAACCGTAACAGTAGTTTCAATGACCTCTACGGCTCGTGAAAACCGTAGAAAACGTTTTATATATCATAAAAATTTATAGATAACTATGAATGACGTCAACTACTTTTGTTTGTGTTCGAACCACATAGCCGATCGATCGAAACGACAACAAAAAATGTAATGAATGCTGCTAAATAATACTCTAATTACTAATGTGACCATTAAGGTCTTGATCTTTGTCTCATTTGATATCGAAAACTATTGTGTTACAACTACAAGGTTAAGACATTGTGGATAAGGAATGAAAAAATAAAATTAATTAATGAAGTCATTTTTATTTGTTACGATAATAAAATTTACAATAGTTTCTATTTACATGTTTAATTATTGAGTGATTTACATACGAAATCTACAAGAATATCGCCTTAAAAATAATTTAATACGTTAATTGAGTGGTCGGCAACCCGCGGCTTGCGATTCTCATGCAGCTCTTTGCTTCCTCGCGAAATCTTTAGTCCAAATACGGAATATTACATATCATCTTGCCTTGTACGAAAAGAGTAAGCAATTTTTTACTTTGACCATAAAAATATATGTTAAAAAATGGCTCTTGGAATAAATTTCAATTGTGTATCATCTATATTTGGCTCTACTGATTGGCATGGATGCCGACACTGCGTTAATCTGAAATCAGTTGTAATAAAGCACCAAGATTTGATGATTACCTTATATAAATGGCTATTTCGAAAATTCAACGCGATTTTAAATTTATTATACACGATGTTATTCCTGCATTGCGGAAGTCCTTCGTGAACACGTGGTACGTTTTAACCCTTTGCGGTCGTATCAATTTTGAACGTGTTTCCCTGCTGGTCGAAATTAATTTCCATTGAAATAACACAGCGCTGTAATAGTTCGCGAATGGGTACTTTAGGGATCATTCAGGTTCATTAAATTCGGCGTAAACTGACATGGTTGAATAAAGTAGTGAAGTAATGAGAATAGTTGCTGATAGAAAATATACGACGGCAACGGGTTAACTTAAGGCTTCGTCAAACAGAACGCGTACTTTTTTTTTATTGCTTAGTTGGGTGGACCGAAACACATTACTGCTTCACGGCAGAAATAGGCAGGGCGGTGGTACCTACTCGTGCGGACTCACAAGAGGTCCTACCACCAGTAAATGCGCAAATTATAATTTTGCGGGTTTGATTTTTATTACACGATGTTATTCCTTCGCCGTGGAAGTCAAAAGTACGTATTTCATTAGAAAAATTAGTACCCACCTGCGGGATTCGAACATATAAAATAAAGATTACTGTATAATGCCCGAAAAATTTATAGAATTAGTTAGAAAATACCCATGCTTATATAATGCCACATCTAAAACACTCGACATCTTAATACTTTTAAATTTTCGCACTGCTATCGAAAGGCACTATGATTTGGCGAATGTTACGTTGCGGCAGGGAAAGTTAGGCTTATCTATATTTGTGTTACATGAAAAGAGCACGACGTTAAATGCCGCGCTACGTACGCGTTCTGTTTGACGAAGCCTTTATAAAAATGGGTTTAAACCCTATTTATACGGGTGTCGTCCATGAAGCCAACGCGATTTTATATGAATATTTTATCAATATCACATGTTGAAACTGTATCACTAACATATTATCAAAAAATTCTTTATCTATGTGGTTTACTATATATTGTGGTTTGGAAAAATTAAAACAAAAATATTTTATTCTTTGTGTTTTTTTTTTCCTTTCTTTTATCAGACATTAAATTACAATATACTCCTAATTCAAACTAAGTTTTTTGTCACATATTCTTGCCTTAAAAACTAAATTGTTAAAATGAATAATAAAAAGCTATTACATATTCCAAATAAATTAGCCAAGCTGTTTATGTATTAACAAATAATGTTGTAAAGATTACTTGTATAACTAATAATTATAAACACGGAATCTTGTTAACGGTCAAATCCTTTTTTAAAGGATTTCAAAAAAGGAGGAGGTTAGGTATTAATTCGGCTCTATTTATAAGTCTGTTCCCTCAGAACTTCTTTCTAGGTTGACCGAGTTTGGTGTTTTTTTTATTATTATTTGAAGGCTAATGCTTCTGTAGTCCCTTTTTATCAAGATTTAATTAGTAGTTTCCTTTTATCCTTAGTTATCCTTAATAATGCATATATTCACATCGCCTACATTGGTGATAGTCTCATTTTATTTGAAATCCGTTTTCTTTTTTATTAAAATTTTGTATAACACTATCTAGAGAAGCTACTTAATATAATACGCTATTTGTTCTTAAGTTTATAGATAAATAATCAAAATGCATTACTGCCCTCTCATATTTTAGAGAAGTTCTTTATATCCAATGCAATCATGACCCAATACGCAATTTTTTAACAATCAAATACATAATTACTATAGACTAGTAGTTTGACTTTTTTATTTTGATCCTTTAATATCCTTTAATGATCCTGATATAATCTATAAGTTTCATTATTATTATTATTATTTTTTAATTGTATTTTTTACTTGTTTTTTCCTTTATTGTAAATATTTTTATTTATTTAAAAAAAAGAAAATATTTGAGAAAAAACAAAAAAAAAAGCCCGCTGAGTTTGTTTCGCCGGTTCTTCTCAGGACTGGCTTTTTTTGGAACCGGTGGTAGAGTTAACATTGTTATTTGTATTTTGACATTCAACAAGAGTGTCATACTGACATATAAGTTGAAAAAAAAAAAAAAAAAAAAAAGATATTATTATTATGATTTTATTATGCTTACATTTATTATGGTCTACATTCGTAGATACGGACATACACGATACGAATTAATTTAATTATCATTACCATAATAAAATAAGTAATGTAGAATTAATAGCACTCAAAAATTTGGCTGATTGTCAGATCAAATCATTATAAATTACCACATAGCGAAATTATGGTTAGGGATCCTTATTAAAATATATTTTTATCTCTTATTATAAATCTTTATAATAAGAAACGCTATTGATAACATTAGTAAACGACCAGTTACTGTCTACTTGGATGTGAGTACAGTCTAGACACTGCCGTGAGTCAACGAGTCAATATGAAATGACGTCATCCACAGAAGTATTAATAGCATCCGAAAACCGGATGTTACAGCTGCCGCTAAAGGCTCATCATCCTTAATCTCTTACATTACACATAAATACTATTCAATAACTTGTTCTATGCCGGTGGTATACTGCATCTAGCCTATGGCCGACTATTTATCGGTCATAGCGACCTCCGTGTGCACGATACATTCGTCCTCCGCATCATCGACCACGGCCAAACATTTTTCCACAATTCCGGACATACAAAAGAAGAGGCCGCGCTGGTGGATGGTTTTGATAACGCGCGGACGCAGGACCACAAGTACCACAAACATTAGGAAGCCTTGTAAAGTGTTGAAGACGTCCAATATAGTCCTGTGACGGAAAATACAAATAGTTATGATAAAAAATTATTCGAATTTACTTTAAAAGCAACTCGTTTATGAATTTTGTGCTAAAATAAATAATAGTTTAAAAAATAACTAACAATATACGATTTTATAGAAAATCCAACTAATAATACCAACCAACCAAAATAGATATTTTTTTTAATAAATTTGAATTAAAAATAGTGTAAGTAAAAATGATTTTATTGTAAAAAAGTGTGGGGCGCTTTTCAGGATATAATCAAGATAATCCTTCTTCTCATATCTGTTCATAAAATATTTATAACTACTGATACTATGCACGTATTTTGTTAGTTTTTTTTTAACTATTATTTATTTTTAATTTTTTAATTGAATTTGAAGTTTTTCAATTTTTTTTAAAATATTGAATTTTCATCAGTCCTTAATAAGTATACCAAATTTCTAATTAATCTGACGTTTTGAACGAAGTCAAAATCATGTTCAAAGATTCCGTTACATATTAACTAACATACAAACATAAATACGTCTGAAGCTAATAAAAGCGTATTAAAAACATGATGATGCCTATCAATTAAACTTTAACTTTTTCTATCAATAACTTTATTAGTAAAGCTTACCACACAATATGTGCTTCAGTGAATGTACTGATCATTTCGAAGATCCAAAACAATCCCATCAGCACCAAAAGACGTATCATCAGCCACAATCTAAAAAAATATATTTGTTTACAATAAAAAAAGAAAACACCGGACTGTCTCTGGTGGGGGCAATTTTTTCGTTGAATTAAAATAATGTTTTTTTATTCAAGTACGCTTTTAAATGATTGTTAATTTGCTATCGATTTGGAATACAGCTTCACTACCGAGAAGAATTTGCAAGAAACATAAATGAAAGCTCTATTCTAGTACAGACAATGAAATTTGATTGATGCCCACCAAAACTGACAAACTCATAATATTCTACGTTTGATTAATTTCAACATTGGTAATCTATATATATAAAAATGAATTTCGGTTCGTTAGTCTCGCTAAAACTCGAGAACGGCTGGACCGATTTGGCTAATCTTGGTCTTAAATTATTTGTGGAAGTCCAGAGAAGGTTCAAAAGGTATTTATATATGGAAATTCTCGGAATTAAATAAAAATAACGATTTTGTTTGTCCTTTGATGTGTCCCCCATCAGACGGATTCCTTTTGCCTTTTATTTATCGATTGAGGCACTACGAAGTCTGCCGGGTCAGCTAGTAAAGAATAAAAAATCTTTGTAGTTTTAACATTCAGTGTATATATTCTGTTATTCAGTGAATAGGTATAGGTACACGTGGCTAGAAATTCACGCTGAATTTCGGCTCAACAAGGCTCAATTTCACGATTACCATACCACGTGTCAAAACAGAACACGTGAATGCTCAGCGGGAGGGATTATAGTGGTACTCATTCATACGAGCCTAGAAAATGCCTGGCCACTATTAAAAGTCGATTGACGGTTCCAGCTTAAATACCGTAAAATGGGGCGATTAGGGATTGAGAGGCGAATCGGGAAAAAACCGGGAAAATCTTTCGACGCTCAATATTAGTTTTATATTCGTTGCAAAATCTTCCATTTTTTGTAGTTTAATAGTAGAATGTTGAAAGTTTACAAAACAACTCTGAATATTCATGATAATAGCTGCTAACTTATAAAAAATCACGTTTCAAATTAACTTCCTGTGGTGGTAATTATTTTAGTGCTAGAAACTTTGCTCTCTTTTATTTATTAGATAATAATAGAAGACGACTGTGATTTATACACGTTATTTAGTGTTTGAACCATCATATATATTAAAGGTAAGTCTCAGTTGTTATTGGTTTTAATGTATTTGATAAAATAAAAATACATGTAAAAATCTGTTGTCTTTGGGGATATTGGGGACGTCTTAGGTACAAATAACAACGAAAAAAGGGTCAATTGGGATGAGAATACGTGAAATGGAAACGACCTAAGTATAAATGGGTACAGGTTTGTAGGGTTGTCTATGTAGTTATAACGATATTTTTTAAATTTGTTGGTAAAAATCTGGTTTATTCATGATGTTTTTGTCTAGAACTTTTATTCAAAATTATCAATGTGTTATTTTATTGTTTGGTAAATATTTATATGATCAGTTACGTATTGTTTGCTATTTTTAGATATGCCTCGCGTGTATGTATCAAAGAGTGCAAGCCTTATGATCCCTTAATATTAAAACAGCAATAGAAGCCTATGAAATAGGGAATAAGTCTTTAGTTGAAATAGCTAAGCAATTTAATATAACTAAGTCGATTTTGCACAGACATGTAACAAGAACAATGAAATCTCAAGGTGAACAAAAATGTCTAAGTAATACATAATAAAATATTTAATATTTGTTCAGAGTGTGGAAGAGGTGACATCTCCCTTGTACTTTTTTCAGCTTTTCAATATTTTTTATGCAACTAACTAAATAAATTAAAACCCTACAACCCTAGCAAATTTCTCATTTCGTCCCAATTAACCGCAATTTCCGGGTAAATAGGGATTACACCTATTTTTGCTTTTTTTGCTTAAACTGGAATGCTAGTTGCGTAGTTTTAAATTGGACAACAAAGATGCCTCCAAGACTCAATCATTTTGATCCTGACATAGCATTATATACATCAACAACTACCTTAAAATTGGTCATAAAGTTGGAATTTGTCCCTAATCGCCCCATTTTACCGGTACTTAAAAAACACTGCCCATTCTCCAGTTGATTTTTAGTCGTCTTTACAACATTCACGCGTACGGATAGAGTGGTACCATTGTAGGCCCACACTACACAGCTAATGCTTCATAATATTACTTGCAAAAATTTACATAGTTAATGAATATTTATTATATAATTTTCATTATCATATTTATGAAACGAAAATGTTTATCAGAACATTTTAAACACGGTTCGTTCGCGGCGATCCACATTATCAACACTTTTATTTGATAGTAACACGTGTATGTTAGGTAATGACCTTGCAACAACGTCGAAATAGCGGGAGCCCATTAAATGTGCGAATCGTGTTAACGAACCGTGATATAATAGTATATATTCTAATAATATTAGTAAAGTTCTCGCCAGAAACAGTATGAAGTGAATAATAGGTGAGCCTTAAAACAGTAACAACTTACTTGTAACGCATTTCTTTGATATGCGCCGACGAAAACGGCTTCTGACATACAAGTGTTGCGCAATATACATAAATGCACATATTTAAAATTATGAGCACCGACATAACGCTATACATGTAATACCATCTTTGCGATTCATCTGAAACAACGTAGGAAATCTAAAAACAAAGCTATTATATTATTATATAGATATACCTACTACGAGATATAGCTCTAAAGAGTTCAATTCTCGAGACATTGTTTTTGACACGATCGGTCGTTAGAAGCATACCCCATTATGAATAACAGAATAATCTCTAATCGCTACTATGAGTTTAGCTATAAATACCACATACTCATTGAAAATAATTAAGCAAAGTTTTCCTGCGTATAAAATATATATATATTTAAAAACAAAAATTGGTACTTACGTATTAACGCCACCGCGGCAAAAATTTAATGGTTAGCAAGTGTGGACAACTTGAAAAATATGGAAAAGCGAATCAGAGCACCCCACTTTCCACCTGGTCTTGTCTGCCCTACACCTAGAGTGTATATAAAAAACCGGAGGCGCGGAGGGAGAGCAGTCCTCGCCCGCTGTGACTGAGCACGGAAACAGTGCGAGGCGGAGCTCCCTTGACTAAATAATGCAATTTTAAATAAAAAAAAATTAACCGTGGATATCTTCATAACCATGGGATTCCGCAGGGTGGGAATGGTGCAGGGAGTAAACCCTTACCCCCCTTCCTCCCCCCACCCCGACCCAAAATCGACGGACCATAAAGGAAAGTTTAACCGAATTTTTGCCGCGGTGGCGTTAATACGTAAAAGTACCCAAAAATGATATCGAATACGGCTTAGGTCGAAAGATATACTTCATTATTGCAATACTATGAATACATTACGTGAAAGTCACTATTCGTACGCTATTCGCGCGTTCTTTCTTTAAACTGTTTATCGTAATGCATTTAAAAATATTACAATGGGTCTTACTTGCAAACCAACAGTGATTTAATCCGAGTCCCGGCTTAGCATGGTCCCCAGGATGAAAATTTACAATTGCCATGCATATTGTGAGAACAGCAGGACACCCCCAAGCATATAAGGAATACCATAAGAAGCTACTTTTGGCACTAAATAGTGCCGGTGCTCTGTAAAAATTAGGGAGTTGAATTAAAAAAAAACACAAATCGATTTTTTTTTATTTGAACCTTATATATTTAAACTTACCTAGAACAGAGAAGAATTTGTATTGAAATAGCATTTGACCAGAAAAAGCTACTTATCAGAAAGAAGTACGCAAGAAATCCTGAAAAGCAATCACGTTAAAGTTATATATTATACATAAACGCATTACATTCTAACTCTAAAGTAAATGAATTTAGGGTCGAAGCGATGAGAACAAATACATCCAAACTTTAAATTTCAAATGTACTTTAAAATCAGTTAGAGAACCCTTTTAATTAATACTAATATTGTATAAATGCGGGAACAAACTCACGGCTCTCTCAGTGATCACTGATGCCCACTTTAAGGTCTATGACTTTTATAATGACACAGCTGGGCGGACAAGTTTACAATCCTGATGCTACAGAGCTCAAAAACACCGCATCCATAAATTTCGCCGATTACCTTGAATTATGAGGTTGAAATCTCAATAATTACATTAGGATAGCGGTAGTCGTAACTTTTAAACTAAAATCACACAACTCCACAGCCACAAAACAATGCCCAATAAACACAATAAGTTAAACACAATCATCTACTGAGGCTCGCTTTTATTATTATTATTCGAAAAGTCCATTCTTGTTCTCCCAACTCACCTCGAACAGCACACCAACTCATATCCGAATATGCCATTAGCTTTATTATTGCCAGTAAGGCTAAAGCTATTGCCATGCTACCACAATAACTTATGATGCTTTTACCAAAAAGATCCCTGTAAAATAATGAACGAATATATAATACTTTGAATGTGATCGATTCCTAAAATATACTGAAGACCTCAACTGACCGCAAGTTCGAAAAACTACTGTATATGGCAACCGTCATTGCCAGAAAAATAACGGACACAATCATACAATATCCAAAAACAGTTTCTTTCGGATCTATTTCGGTTGCACATGTGACGGCAACGTTTTGGATTATTGACAAGTTGAGACGCCTTTCACCAACTGCCACGTCGTTAATACAACTGAAACAAAAATAGTCGCTGTATATTAAGATTTTTTTTGCCTACCTAAGCCTTGAAACCTTAACTAGTAGGGGAGCTCACGGGGCTCAAACCTGAAGACGTTGCTAACACGAACCCTAGTAAAAGCCGTGCTTCGCAGAATCTACCACCGGATTGGAAACGCGACCCAATGAGAAGATCCGGCGAGAAGCTCAGTGGGCTGTGTCTAAGGGTTAATTTACTCGTCGAGCCGTTCGTCGCAAGCGACGGGGATCTTAAGGACGCAATAGCTTTAAGCTACGATATTATATAGTTATCAAACGTATCATAATCATAGCGTGAAATACCTAGTCCAGCCATAAGTTCTATTACAAATGAAAATGCATTTTTTTAAAATGAAGTAATGTAATAATATTATTAAAAAATATTCCTACATATTTATTCCTCAACAAAAAATAAAAAAAATTTTATTCGTAATGGCCACCTTTGGCTTTTATACAGGCCTTTAATCTGTTTGGCCACGAATCTATAGATTTACGCACTGTTTCCAAGCGAAATTTCGCCACTGCTTGCTTCATAGATTTTTAAGAGACAAATGTCCCTGTGTCCTTTAGAGCAGGCCATGTCCTCTAAAACTGACCATAATTTGAAGTCTAAAGGGTTGAGGTCTGGGCTTGGGGAGGGCCAGTCTTCAGCTCGTATAAAGTCCGGAGCGTTGGTTTCAAGCCAGGCTTGGGTAGTTCGTGCCTTGTGACCAGGTGCAGCGTCCTGCTGCAAAGTCCACGGTATATTTTTAAAATGTGTATTACTAAGAGGTTTCAATGATGACTGTATCTTGATATACTTTGGCTGAAGTAATTCACTCCTTTTTCACAAAAATATAATTTTGAGTCACTGACGCAGGATGATGACCACGTCGTACCTTTTCGACCACTTGAGCAGCTTCTTTAGACCTGTGAGCGTACACTTTATCGTTTTGCTTATTGTAGTGTTCTTCAAACATGAACATTTTTTCGTCGATAAAGAGGATATTTCTGTGCCTTTCATCTGCGTATCGCGACAGAAGGCGTTTTGATTGATCCACTCTCTTTAATTGTAAAGATTGATTTTAGGCTTGTCCTGTAAATCGACGATAAGCACCGAGCTTCAGGTCTTGTTTTATAATACGCGACAGAGTCCTAGCGGGAATCTTCATTTCTAGCGATAAGATATTTGCTTCTTAATGGAGTTTCGACGAATTCTGGCTTTAATAGCTTATTCGAGCTATGTACGGTAGAGCTAGTACGCACGATCGCTTCGCAGATGGCGATACCGACGAGTTCAGGGTGGCGGTAGGCTTACACCAAGGATCACCTTTAAGCCATTACCTGTTCATCCTAATAATGGATGCCCTAACATCGGATATACAAGAGGAGGCGCCTTGGTGTATGCTGTTCGCCGACGCATTGGTCTCGTTGGAGAAGAAGGATCTGAGATACAGAGGAGACTGGCAAAATGGAAAGAAAGGTTGGAAAACGTGGGTTTGAAGATAAGTCGAACAAAAACCGAGCACACGTTTTGTGATTTTGGTGGTTCTTCAGACTTCACGCCAATCGCCTTAGATGGTGTATCCCTGCCGGTCTCTATGCTCCGATTTCAAATACCTCGGTTCTATACTCCAGAACGACGGCAACATAGACCGGGACGTAACAAACCGAATAAACGCTGGTTGGGTGAAACGACAACAGGTCCCTGCAACAGCGTGCGATCGTAGAATGCCTATTCAGCTCAAGGGAAGAATTTACAAAACGATCATTAGACCTGTCGTGCTGTATGGATCTGAATGTTGGGCGACGAAAGTAAAGCATGAAAGAGGAGTGCATGCGGCAGAGATGCGAATATTGAGATGGATGTGTGGAGTAACAAGAATGGACAAGATAAATAATGAGTATATCAGAAGAAGTGTGAAAGTAGCCCCGGTTATCAACAAATTAAAGAGAGGAAGGTTTGCGTGGTACGGACATGTGTGAAAATGGTAGTGCAAGGTAGAGGGGGAAGAAGTCGACCAAAGAAGACATGGATAGAGTGTGTGAATGACGATATGAGAGAGATAGAGAGAGAGGAGTGAATGTTGAGATGACGGCTGATAGAAGAGAATGGAAGAGAAAAATTAGCTGTGCGGACCTCACCTAGTGAGATAAGGTGGAGAAAAAAAAACCAAAATGCATTCCTATTTTCTTTAACGCCCCATTCCAAATTGTAATTTGATAATGAACACGAAAAAATATGTGAAATGGCGTAAAATCAAAAGAAGTTTTTAAAATAATATACATGTTCCATATTCAAAATAATTAAAAGGTTGAAAAAAAAAGTTTTTATCTATCAGTATTTATGGCCAGACTAGTTTTACATAAACATAAATCGTTTTTACGACATTAAACATTTAACGTAAAACAGTTTTAGGGCTACAAATATTGATGCCATACTTTGAAGTTTACACGATATCTACAGATGTGTTAAAAAAATGTTTAACTACACTTGTTTCGGTTAAGGTATGCACTAGAATTATGAAACATAACAGACGTAATACATACGTATTTACGTAATATTACGTACTAGAGGTCCCCCAGTAGTCGAAATTCGACTATAATTAATTGGAATTGTAAGTTTGTACACTATTATGATTGTATTTTATACTTCTATAATCACAAATTTCGCCATGACTACACTATAAAAAATATTAACAAAGACAAACAATATTTAATCTATTCTCAATTTGACCACAGACGTCAAGAACAAAAGTTTGACAATAAATAGTACGCATGAGTGTGTGCGTCAAATACATGGTATATAGTGTGTGTAATGTTTTCTTTATTGATTTATTGTATCTTTTACGCATTATTTAAAAAAAAAATTAGCATTGTGCACGTCTTCTCTATATTCTCTATAAGTGTGGGAAATTTCATACTCCTCCGTCCGCGCAATTTCCGTAAAAAGGGGTACAAAGTTTTTGCTTCACGTATTAATATATAGATATACGTAAAGTATAGTAAAACATTAGCGCTTAATTTCGTAATGTAATAGAAACTCGAGGTGATTTATTCGGTTAAAGTTGTGATTAAATTCGGTTTTGTCTGGCATTGAATTAATTTATTAGAAAAATAAACTTTAGAAACTATGGAAAAGACAAATAAATATAAAAAAAACATTATTAACAATACATATTATTATAAATATAGTTAATAAATTTTAAGTGGTCGTTTTTTTTTTATGAAACGGCGAATTGCTGTAAATTTGTAAACGACTATCAAGGTTAATTAGTATTGTATATGTAAAAATTTGTATGTATCAATGTTTATATCACTTTACGATAACGACTATAACCAAACCGAACTGGTTGAAAAGTGGCGCCAACGAATGGCTAGTAAATAAATTCACTAGCTGCAAATATTTAGAATTTACAAAAAAATATTATGATCTGCAAAACTAATATTTCTTCAAGGCCTATTTGTTGAAGTTTCGTAAACAAAATTCACTCATTTATTTATCTTGATAGTGAATTTGAAAAGTCACATTTTCATAATTTTTCTTCCTAATAACACTATTCAGAGCACTTGTTGTAATTATCAAATTCGTTTCATGTAATCATTGATTCTACAAATGAATTAAAAAAATATACATAACAATATTCCAACTTAAAAATACGCAAAGCAGCCGCTAGGAACACAATTTGAGTACATTTTGGCAACATACTGGTTTGGCAAATTACTGGTGGTAGGACCTCTTTCTTGTGAGTCCGCGCGGGTGGGTACCACCACCCTGCCTATTTCTGCCGTGAAGCAGTAATACGTTTCGGTCATTTACGTTGTGGATGTCTATGGGCTCCAGTAACCACTTTACACCAGGTGGGGTGAGAGCTCATCCATCCATCGAAGCAATAAAAAATAAATAAAAAAAAAAAAAAAAAACCTCCGACCGCCCAGACCAATGACTACTTCATTGGTCTGACGGTCTCAATAGTAAAAATGACCCCGGTCAATAAAAAATATTTTTACGTGTCACACAAATTTAACGAATAGCATATTTTCGGTTTCAACCATTAAGACATTATTTGCCGGGTTGTTCCCTAAAAAAATTAAGATTACTTTCATGAAAAAATCCTAAGCGAATTTTGCAGATGAGTTTAACTATGATTTTAGGTTTTAGCTTTTATTTTAAATTTACTACTTTGTTAATTGCCTGATTTGAAGTCCTATTTATTACATTATCACTGATTTTGTGTTAATTTTTATTGTACTTTCCATTCTCTGATTTTGATGTTATTTTATTCATTGTAATAGAATAGATAATGTAATAGAATAAAACTACTACTTACAAACTAACATTCAGTGGCCCTATTTCTTTCCCCAAGCTAATAAGCACCAATTTTCCATCTCTTTCTATAAACTTTCTTATGAACACATATTTTTTACAAGGCATATTAATCTNCGGGTCCCAGAGACACTCTTGTCGATGATATTCATTAATGAATTGTATATTTTTTTCTGTACTCCATCGTTGGTTTGCCATTTTCAACACTTGAAGCGCGTCCGAACTAACAATACACACGTCCGTACAGCGCAGGCGCTTTCGCGACATTAGTTTCACGTCGCGTCTACACTATGAAATTAGTTCATGACACTAATTTCACCAAAAAACCGCGCGGGGCACGAAACTAATTTGCATGCATGAAATTAATGCATGCATTACGAAAGTATTAAATTACACGTGAAACTGTTGGTAAAACTAATGTCACGAAATTAATTTCATGCCACTAATTTCGTAATGTAAATTCGCCTTAACTGATGTTATTTACAGAAAAAAAATTAGTTTATGTACATTGTTAGCAGGCGTCGCGCCAGTTTACAGTTATTATTATTAAACGGTTTTATGATGATACATCTTTTGCTTAGCGGGATCGAAATCAATGAAATTGAAAAAATTTAAAATGTTTGTGAACTAGGACTTCCTAAATACTGAAAAAAAGATACCATCTAAAATACGTTATAACCTTGTAGCAATTTGTACTAAGAGCTACCTACAAAAAGCATTATTTTTCTTGGATTCAAGAAACGTATTACCGAAGTTTTCTTCTTCTTTTTCTTCTGCCTCAATATTTTGGGTATTTGTGCTGCAAAATTATTATGGTCCGAATTTTAAAATGTATCGAATTTCTTCAATAGATTCACTCATCTTGACTGTACGAAAAATAAATAAAAATCACACATTTACCTAATTTTTTAAAATTTAAACTTTTAATGATGCTAAAACCAGCCAAATACAAATAGTATAGCCAAAGAGATTTTATTACAAGTTCATAAAATTAAATACTACTAGAGGTCTCGCAGTAATCGAAATTCGACTATAATTAATTGGAATTGTAAAGTATACTATTATGATTGTATTTTCAACACCAAGACTACCTACACTATAGAAAAATATTAAGACAAACAATATTTAATCTATTCTCAATTTGACCACAGACGTCAAGAACAAAAGTTTGACAATAAATAAATAGTATGCATGCGTGTGTGTGTCAAATACATGGTAGTGTGTGTAATGTTTTCTTTATTGATTTAATGTATCTTTTATGTATTATTTAAAAAAAATTAGCATTGTGCACTTCTTCTTTTTTTTTTTTTTTTATGATTGAAAGTNTGAGGAGGTATTGGTCTGGGGGGCAACATCTTTTACTGTTCACTGCTTCCATAAAGAAATGCAAAAATAAATAGCCAAGAACACTTTTTAATTGAATTAAATTCATTTTTTGTTTGTGCTATATTGTATTCGTCTAAGCGTCAGAGCGAACGCGCGCGCACTACAAGAACCGGCGTTTGCGCAATACTGAGAATCTGACAGCCTTCAGAGTACTTCAGACCTGTACGTGGCGGACCGACGCGACGCGGCGTGGTTTTAATTCTTAATGCGGAGTTTACATTACGAAATTAGTGTCATGCATGTTGAACTCAGTTGCACGAAAGTAGTTTCGATATACATATGCGAAAGTACTTTCGTAAAACAAATTAGTGTCGCGAAATCCACAGTATCGCAATAACCATGGCGCCGTCAGCATCAAATCTATATTTTGCTATATTCAATGTAGCTAAAGAAATGTTTATATATAAACTTAAAAAAAGACAATCAAGAAAAAAAAGACGTTGGTGGATTCGAGGATGGTTAACAAGAAAGTATTTAGGTGCAATGAAGTTAGTCTCTGAATTAGCNGGTCGGCCTTGAAGGCCAGAAACTCGGAAGTGAGCTTTGGGTAGCGAAGCCGGAGAAATTCCGCGAATACAGCGTCCATTATGGATACGTGCCCAGGTGGGGCTGCCCCGGGACTTTGAATACACTCGCCTTGCGGCGAGGCCCCAACTTCTCGGAACTGAGCGGTTCTATTGAACACAGGTGGCGATGCGGCGTGATTACTATAGGACAAAGAAAAAACACAACAAAACAGGAATAACAAAAAGAAACAAAACAAATAAACACTTCCTGGAAAACGGTTTGTCGGCAGATGTACCACGAACACAGAAATAACAAAAAGAAACAAAACAAATAAAAAATTCCAGAAAAAACACTTGGTCGGCAGATGTACCACGAACACAGGTCGCGCGAACAATGGCCGGGCTAACAAAAGCCGGGCGAACAAAGGCCGGGCGATCGAGTGGTCGATGGGCACGTCCGCACGTGACGGGTGCCTCTATCGGAATGACTTCTTCTCTATATTCTCTATAAGTGTGGAAAATTTCATACTCCTCCGTCCGCGCAATTTTCGTAAAAAGGGATACAAAGTTTTTGCTTCACGTATTAATATATAGATAATGCGAAGAAACTTTTTCCCCAACCTATTATGTTAAAACTGAGACTTCGATTAATTAATAACTTAAGGCGAGTGTCTGCACGTTTTGATGTCTTTAAGCTTTGCAACCGGCTTAGTGAGTATGCGATAGCTGAAAATGAATTTTATATGGTGTAATTTTAATCTGTAAGCTGTTTTTTTTAATTGTATGCCATTGATTGAAATGGACAAAATCCTTTAGAAAGTTTTCAAACGCCCCAAAATTCTGTCTGAAAATAAAGAATACTATGCTTTATTGAAAACCAAATACAAAAAGAAGTACAAAATATTTAATATATATTTGTATAAAGTAAAATGGGGAGTTTATTTATGTGCAGGAATATAAGGAAAATTTGGAATCGTTATCGATTGATCGTCTGTGAAAACAATTCCAATTGTTGAATTGAGGAACGTGAAATGACGTCAGTCAGTTTAATAAACTGTTAAGCATTTTCGACCTTGAACGAAGTACATACTATATATATAAATTACAAGTTGTTGATATATTTATATATTATATATAGTACTTCGTTCAAGGTCGGAAATAAATATATCAACAACTTGTAATTTATTTAAAACTCTTTTTTGAACAATCTTTCCGAGTGAAGTTGCATAAGGATTTGATGAAGACTCGATGCTATCGTATCATAATAATAATCTAAGAATTAATAAATTTTGCCGAATATGCGTTTTAATGCGGACCAAAAATAAAGATATGTGTTAATGGAATGTGTAGTGCTCCAAGAATTTGTTCAAGAGAAACCCATATCATACAATTTATCCATATTATTGACTTGAAGCGTTCATGTAGGTACGTAGCGTTTCCAAATACTAATGTTTCTTGTCTCGTACCATCCGGCTTTTTTTTTCAACTCTCGACTCCCACTTTGGCTAATTAGACTTTATCTTCCAAATGACTCCGATACTGAACACCACTCAAAATATGGATCCCCAGAATCTCTATACTGGCGGAAAACTGCAGATATACTCCTTGAAATTGTGACGCTATGCAAAAAGGTCCTTCTTCTTAGGGTCTTAGTGAACGCGCAAACCTGTGTCTTCAATGGGTTGAACTGAATTCTGTTCACCCCATTTGAAGACCCGCTCCAGAGAGTTCTCCACTTCAGACACAAGCTTTGATCACCTCTTGCACCACGGCTTTGGAATTAACCCTTCCACAATGCTTACTTTTTGAGAAGATATCGTCGTATTTTCCAAAAAAAAATTTAATTTCATTTTTCAAGCCCCTTGAACAATGTTGTATTCTGTGCCATATATTGTATTTTTGGTCAGGCGTATATATTAAAAAAAAATAAGGAAGGTTAACCTTAAAATCTTTCAGTAACAATATCAGAACAATAATTTTAACATAAACTCGTAAACTCGGTAATAGCTATTATTTTATGATATACATTACAAGGTAATATTTATGGTATGATTTCAAGATTTTAAGGTTACTGCGTGCGTTGTCAAACACGCACTCACCAGGTTTTAAATAAAAGATTTTCAAATTAGTTTCTTCATTATAATTGTGTATACATCAAATAAAATACATGAATTCACGGTCAGAGTAAATAATAATCAGATATAACTCTAATTTTGTATAGTAAAATATTGAAATAATTTTCTATTAAGCCTCGCGTGGACTAATTTTGGTGTACCTATGCGTAATTCGTGCAGTTATACGTAGCGAATTCAATAATTCGAAAATAGGTATAAATTCAAGATTATTGAATTCCGTGAACACTTAGAAAAGGCCTTCGATTTCCCCTGTTTTTGTGTTGAGGTCAATATCGTAGATGCTAGGTCGCGTCGGCAGTCCGGGCATCTTCGAGATCTCCCCAACCATGGGCACCACGAAGCCGGCGCCTACCGATACGAATATTCCGTTGATCTTTAGCGTGAAGTCAGTGGGAGCTCCCTTGATGGAGGGATCACCGGTTAAGGAGTTCGAAGTCTTGGCCATGCAAATCGGAAATTTGTCGTATCCCTGAAAATATTTACAAATAGTTATTTGGTTGAATTATGAGTTTATCTGAGTAATTACATACATCGTGGAATAAAGATGTACAATCTCGACTGACTAAGAATATTTTTGCATTAATTTTGTACAAATTTAGAGATTCCTTGTTGAAGACTAATAGGATTGTTTTGACCTTGAACTTTGTTTTTTTAAGTTATTTGTTAGGTGATTGAATTATTGATGAATGTCATATGAAAATGCCTATTTTATAGGTTTACTAGCCGTACTCGCCCGCTTTACTGCGCATTTAAAATTAACATTATTAATATTTATTGTCATTATTATTAGCGAGTCCAACACTCATATAAATATTAGGCTATCCATTAAGTACATGTATTTTCTACATGAATACCAAAAGTTTCAAGTCAATCGGATGTATGGTTCAATTGGTAAAAACGAACATCCGTAAAAACCACTGTATTATTATTATACATTAGTTTAATTTATATAGTTAGATTTATATATTAGTTTAAATATCGTAGCATTTTATTAAACTCAACCAAATTTACCTTTTCGGTGAAGATTTTAATTTTTTCTAAAACCTCTTCAGTGTATTCGATTTCGGAAGCGCCGTACATCTGACTGGCGATTGTGTGAATCTTGTCCTGGATGGAGAAGCTCAGGGGGTATAGGTACTGGAAATGCGTGGGTCGGTTACAGGCGTCGATGACGGCGTCGGCAAGCTCGATAGCGCCCGCCCCGCCGTGGGTGAAGTGGCTACACACCACCGCCCTGAACGCGCCGTTGTGCAGAGCGAAGTCTTGCACCAAACTCAATTCCGCGGCGCTATCATTACTAAACAACCGGAATATGTCAATTAGCCGGGATTAATTGTAATCAAATACTGGTTTACTGGTGGTAGGACCTCTTGTGAGTCCGCGCAGGTAGGTACCACCACCCCACCCCGCCTATTTCTGCCGTGAAGCATTAATGCGTTTCGGTTTGAAGGGTGGGGTAGTCGTTTTAATATACTTGAGACGTTAGAACTAATTATATCTCAAGGTGGGTGGCGCATTTACGTTATAGATGTCTATGGGCTCCAGTAACCACTTAACACCAGGTGGGCTGTGAACTCATCCACCCATCTAAGCAATAAAAAAAATTACCAAAGAAAACATTGATTAATGAATATTGAAAAAAAAAAATCTCTGTACTCTCTTTTACATTGCTCTACAAATTTTCTTGAGTATCGTTACATATGAAGCTAATCGGAAATGATGATTTCTATCAGACAGTCTGAAGTGAAAATGATTAGTTTAAAAAAATACGGACTTGTGTTTAATTAAAAGCATCTCAAATCTAATAAATAAAAGTATGAAATAAAACCAAATAATGGTGTCAGCAGACACAAGCAATATAATAAATAGTGAACTTTTGTTTTTACTTGGTCTGTGTGCGCTTAACAGAGGAGCTCGGCATATTCCAAGCAGAAACTGCTAAGACGTTAAAACTGTTATAAAATATGGTACTTTAAAAGAAGCCCTGAAGGTTCTATGATGACTTTAAGACATAATAATTATTAGTTATGAAATCACAACATTCTTGGAGAAAACGCGGCTAAATCGACACTGTCTAATCTGCTGTGGAAGAGAGAGTGAGTTGAGATCCCGCGAAACCTAATACGAAATCACTTGAGATCAATTTAAATATTACGTAGTCCTGAGGAGCTGATCTGAGTGGTAGAGTTCATTTAAGAGTCTGTTTAATCGCCAGATGCTACACGACAAGTGATCTCTCCAAACGCGTTTTGGATAAACGCGATGTTGCCAGATAGCACACACAATTCCGCTTCTATGCTGGGCTAGGCGATGGTATAAAGGAGATATCGATATCATTAAATACGGTACAAACACACAAAGAGAACAAAGATCCCTCCGTAGATCGAAGGGTAACCGCGAGATCGGGAATTAGAGATAGAGAATTAAACTATCATTTCCACTATTTGTGGCGCCTTACCCGTGCTTGTTGACAGCTACAACGACCGGAATACCAAATTTGTTGCCGTTACTGATGTGTTTGCCCAAGTTACATAGACCTTTGTGTAGCAGATCTAGGTTCTCCTGCAAGGGCAAATAAATGGTTATAATTACTTCCACGTTTTCAAGTAATAATAAAAAAATCGTGTAATCAAAATTTAATTTGGGTAGTTACTGGTGATTCTCGTTGCGAAGCACTAATGCCTTCCGGCTTGAAGAGACATCGTTACCCAAAATGTGTGGCGACATTTATGTAGAATAGGGATCGCAGCACATAAAATAAAAATTACACTGTTCCAAAATCTTCTGTTATAATAATAATTAATAATTAACACTTTTATTACGTCTTGCTCATTTTTCAACCGTCTTCGCCATCTCCCTTTTTTCTATCATTCTGTTTGTCATTCTCTTCTCTCTTTCTTTCCGTTTTCTCTCACTCACATCTTAACGCTCCGTTCCACACTATTTTCATACGTTCCGTTCTTACCAATCCTACATTTATGTAGTTTTGTCTATGGCCTCTGGTAACCACCTGGTGGGCTGTGATCTCTTACGCCTTACTACCAGTAGCGGAGGTACCTGCAGGTAGACATCATGCAGAGGCAGCCCGGGTGAGACGGGCGGGCCGCCGCCGTGCATCTTGAGCGCGCGCACGGTCGCAACGATGACCGCGCAGTGAGGCCGGTCGCCGCTTGCGCGACACTTTATGTCGAAGAACTTCTCCATTCCTGAACACACAAAGTCAGTTATAGTTCTGCAGTGGTAGCCATCACCATAGAACATAACATATTTATCAGATTTTCCACCAAGCGGGTGAAACTGTTCGGTAGACCGACGATTCAAATGTTATTCTCCAGAACTTTGTGCAAGATATGCAAGATTATCATGAAAATGTCACTACAGTTCACTAAACTATCGATGGCCGTTTTGACATACTACAATGGTGATGTGAAATTTCAATACTAGTATTCTCGAAAAAAATATAATGAAATCTAAAAGTTTTTATTATAAGTAGTGGTAGTGGACAAACATCAAATCGGCCATCATAGCGTGCCGGTAGAGTAGCGAGATTCAGGCGTCTGTCAAATATCTTAAGTTCTATGTTAATTGCAACCGCCACAGTTATTTATCATATCACCACGGTACTGTAATAAGTATGTTGACTGAAATATTACAAAGTTGTTTACTATAGATATCACCGCGTTAGTCTAATAAACATGTTAACTAAATTATTAAAATTATATTCTAATTTTATCTAAGCCCGCTCAGAATTTACTAAGTTAGGAAGGTAATCTTATTCGTATAATCATTCGACGTTACAAGTGTGCGAATGAAATAATATATCTCCAATTTTACGCACCTATTCTTCCTTGCTACGTGATTGCTTAACAATTAATATTTGCCCATAGGTATTAAAAAAAATGCGTTAAATTAAAATATAAATAATACATTTCACAATTCTTTTTGAAATTATATATAAAGTGAAAATGAACTTACCAATATCAGATCCAAATCCAGCTTCAGTGGCGACGTAACCAGCGGGACCGGCCAGCTTCATGGCGATCTTGTCAGCCAGTATGGAGGAGCATCCGTGCGCGATATTGGCGAAGGGTCCCGCGTGCACCAGCACCGGCGTGCCCTCCAGACTCTGCATCAGCGTCGGCTCGAACGCGTCACGTAACAACACCAGCAACGCTCCCGTCATGCCCTGCGGCCCGCATTCACGAATCACATACAAAACTAGCTACATTTTTTACTGGTGGTAGGACCTCTTGTGAGTCCACACGGGTAGGTACCACCGCCCTGCCTATTTCTGCCGTGAAACAGTAATGCGTTTCACTTTGTCATCGAAAATCGATCGTAATCATCGACATCATAAAACATAGGGTCGTTTATGTGGATTATAATTTATCTTCTGGTTTAATATTTTGAAAAAAACTGTGTTTATCATTATTTTTTATTGATAACACTAAATCTTGCTTGCAAGTGCTACTTAGCTTCGCCGGGCTATTACTTAATTAATAATTAATTAAGTAATAGCTTATAGTATTACTTTACTATCATCAGATCAAAGACCCTTGTTACCTGTGTAACCAGTTCAAGGTTGGTTCAGTTGTGTTCAATGCGCAAAATTGTAATCAAAATCAAACCATATTGCATATGTCAAAGACCTCCAGTTTCACTAGGAAATAAAGAACAGTTTCAAGGAAATATCGAGGATATTTATAATATATGTTTAGTTTTTACCAAGTCGTCTGCGGTGACAGCGTTGCCGTCCTTATCGAGGGCCACCACCATGCTGGCGAGGCGTTCTTTGATGTCGTCCACGTCATTACCTAACGCCAGAATAGCCATGATCTCCGAAGCGACGGAAATATCGAATGCAGTCTCCCGAGTGAAGCCTTTTTCCGTAGGGGACTGGCCTATTGTGATCTTTCGAAGATATCTGTCGTTTAGATCCACAACTGAAACAAGAAACGCGAGTGTTGTCCGATTTACAGAAGAACGGAAAAATGCATGTACCGAAAAAACAATTGATTTATTTATTTATTTATAACTTTATATAGTAAACAGTATAAAGGCGGACTTAATACCATAGGCATTCTCTAACAGTCTACCTTAGGGGAGTGCAGAGATGAACCTTGGTAGGTGTAGTGTGATTTACTGGTACCTACTCTAAACAAGTATTTGATCACAAGATTCAATCTCAGCATTAATATGTATAATGGAAATTAGCAATAATGAAAATTTTATAACCTAAATATTTTACCTCTGTTCCACATAATCTTTGTTGGGTCTATATTGAGTCGAGCGAACTTAACCCTCTCTTCGGCAGTTAAAGAGTCAGGGTCCGTTTTATCGATTCCCAATCTCTTCAGTCTGCGTAGCTGGATAGGGGAGAACTTCCTGACGCCCTTGATCTTGGGGACGAGACGGTCATACAGAGGTCCGTCCTTTTGTGTCAGCTCGTGGAAGATGCGCGCGTCCATTTGTGCAGCAAGAAGATTGTTGGCAGCGGTTACGGCATGAATGTCGCCAGTCATGTGCAGGTTGAACTCCTCCATTGGAATTACCTGAATTATAGGAAAGATCATTAGTCTATTGTTTGGTCAAAGTGTTACAAAGAAAAATAATAGTTTAAAAAAACTTAAATAAAAAAAAAAAGTGTAAGAATTCAAATTTATAAAAAAATATTTTATATTTTTTAGTTGGATTTTCTATAAAAGCGTATTTTGTTACTTTTTTTAAACTATTGTTTATTTTCCATTTTTTAGTTGAATTTCAACTTTTTCATTATTTTTTTCAATTTTTTTTAATGTTGATTTGTCATCGATCCTTAATAAGTATACCTACCAAATTTCGAATTAATCCGAAGTTTTGAAGGCGGTCAAAATCATGTTCAAAGATTCCGTTACAAACATACATACGTCTGAAGCTAATAAAAGCGTATTAAAAATAGGCATCTTAAGGATAGTATTAGAGTTTACCTGAGAGTAGCCCCCTCCAGCAGCACCTCCTTTAACGCCAAAGGTCGGCCCCTGACTCGGTTGCCGCATGCATGCAAATGCGTTCTTCCCGCGATGTGCTGTCAACGCTTGCACCAGCCCTATTAGAGTGGTGCTTTTGCCTTCACCAAGTGGTGTTGGAGTTATACTGAAAAGATACGAAGTGATCAGTTATTGCGAATTTTCATTAATCGAACATTTTGAGCTTTTAAGCAATTGCATAACTTTTATCGCGGGCATTAAGGGCGGCGAATCAAGAAATTCCGTAACGAAAATAAAACCTAACACCCCCCCAGTCCGATAACCATGTAGCTCGCGTTCAACACATTCATACGTTGTGCTTGTGTAGTGTTTGTGAATAAGCGCGCGGCGTGACGTCGCACTGCATGCGCATCATGAAAAGTCTGCCCATCTCTCTCTCGCGCGGTCTAGCTTAAGAGTGTGAAGGGGACAGTTAATGTGTTGCTTTTGTTAATGTTTATAAATATAACGTGGTCTTATTGTATTATTGTTTTAATATTAAGTTATTATTGTCTAATTATAATTGCATAAGTTGTTAAAAAAATGCTATGCAATAGCTTTATCGCGGCAGTCCCCCAATACCACACTTTTTTTAAATTACTATCACAACGTGCAATTGCGTGGTAATCAGACATTATTCTACAATTTTTTATTTGTAGCCACTAATAGTAGTAACGTAAATTTTAATGAAAACGCATAGTAGTATATCTTTCCTCACCCAGCAACTACGATGTATTTCCCTGTGCGTTGGTTGCGTAATCTGTCGAGAACGGACAGTGAAATCTTGGCCTTAGTACGTCCATATTGAGACACCTCGCTCGGACACAGACCGATCTCTGCCGCCAGCTCTCCGATGTCTTTAGGCTTCTGAGAACGAGCTATTACGATGTCACTGAAACGTTTTTTTTTTAGTATTATTCTCAAATTAGTTATACTAAAAAGAATGATGATCAATACGATAGGACATAACAGTTTGATTCCTTTGTTTTATCAAGTTCCCCCCCCCCCCTCTATTATTTTGATAAAAGATGGTCACCCGTGACTCGTAAACAAATGACACCGAAAACACGCATGCCATTGTTTTTGGACGAAAAGTAGAAAATTGTTGACAAATGTGCGCTTGAAACGTTTGTTTATTATTATTCTCAAATTAGTTGTACCACAAACAATGATGACCAATGCGATAGGACATAACAATGTTTTTCCTTTGTTTTATCAATTTCCCCCTCATTATTTTGATAAAAGATGGTCATCCGTGACTCGTACACAACAAATGACACCGAAAACATGCATGCCATTGTTTTGGAACAAAAGTACAAACTGTTGACAAATCGCCTTCTCGCATTAAAACTGTTATAATCTCAAAACTTACTAATTTTACAGGAGAGTGTTTTGAAGGTTTAACATGTGATATTTTTAATATTAATTATCTTTGCAATATTTATTTTTTATTTTGTACCAGTTACACTATCTGTCTTTTAAAATAAGATAAAATTATGTATTAATTTTGTTCATAGTAGTCAAAACATAGGTAAACTAAAAAAAAAAAAAAAACTACGCTCTTTTGACAGTATTTATTAGCCAAATACTAGTGATATCAAATGATTCCGCGCATTAACTCAATTTGAAATATTTTTGGATTTTTTTTATTGTCTTTGTAGACAGATGATCATACGGCCCACCTGATGGTAAGTGGTCACCGCCGCTCATGGACGTCAGCAATGTCAGGGACAGAGCCAAGCCGCTGCCTACCAAAAAGTGTACACTTTTAATGCGAAAAGACGACATTTACGCTTATATTGAGGCAATTATTATTTTTCTTTGAATACCTGGGCGGTGGCGTGATCGGGGTGAGGCGAAGCGGCTTGAGAGGCCAGGAGGGGGCAAGCAAGCGGTCGAGCTGTCGGCGCGCTGCCTGCACGGTGTTCCGCATGAGCATCGCGACGGTCATGGGCCCCACGCCGCCCGGCACAGGAGTCACAGCCGAAGCTACTTTGACCGCCTCCTGGTAAGCCACGTCGCCCACTAAACGTTGCCCGCTTTTCTTTGTAGGATCTATTACGGAAGCAGTCTATTTCAAAAATGACACTTAGAGGTCCCTCAAAATTTGAATAATCTGTTCTGGTAAAAACGAATTCTTCGAGGCTTAAGCAAAAAGAATGATACATGAAATACCGGATTATTACGTGAAGTCAGTTAGTTACACGGAAAATTATCATAAAAAATGTCTCCATCCGTTGGATTACGCGTTCGAAAGCCAACTAACTGTAAATGTTTTCAAAAACAATGAAGATGTGTGTTTTATCAATACCCCGAAACGTCAGGTGTGTAATTGTAATACGAGGATCTTAATGTCGTTTTACCATCATCAGAACGATAATGTACCGTTTTATGCGTATAGGCCGACAAACAAATGGTAAGTGGTAGTCCTTCTTAGTCAGTAAAAACACAATCTTTGCTATAAAACAGAAACTTAGAATTCATTTCTCATGGTGAGTGGTGACATTTACGTTTATCGATGTCTATGGTTTCCAGTGACCACTTAAACCTAATCATTCAAACCAAAAAAAGCTTTTCCTAAACAATAATTAATTTTGGTAATGTTTACCAATGAAATATACAATTCCATCAGTGCTGTGAGTTCGACAACAGCCCGAAATCATTATCATTTTTTACTGGTGGTATGACCTCCTGTGAGTCCGCACGGGTAGGCACCATCACCCTACCTATTTCTGCCGTGAAGCAGTAATGCGTTTCGGTTTGAAGGGTAAGGCAGCCGTTGTAACTATACTGAGACCTTAGAACTCATATCTCAAGATGGGTGGTGACATTTACGTTTTAGACGTTTATGGGCTCCGGTAACCACTTAACACCAAGTGAGCTAAGAGCTCATCCACCCGTCGATGCAAAAAAAAAGGGAAAAAATAATTCATAATATCGAACGTAGTACTTCTCAATTCGTACCCTCAATAGCGTTGATACCACAGTCTATAACGACCGCTCCAGGCTTGATCCAAGAGCCTCGGACCATCTCTGGACGACCGATCGCCACCACCAGTATTTCTGCTGTCTTAGTCTAAATATTAAAACAAAATCCATTAGATTCACACTTTAACCTTTCACCTTTCGTGAAGCAGTAATGCGATTCGGTTTTAAGGGTAGGGCAGCCGTTGTACTGCTAAAACTGAGACTTAGAACTTATGTCTCGAGGTAGGTGGCGGCATTTAGGTCGTAGATGTAGTAGATGACGTACGTAGTGGGCCATGAGCTCGCCCACCCACCTAAGCAATAAATTAAAAAAAGAACTTAACTAAGGGTAAATTTTATTTGGATAATACTCACAATTTCACTCAAATTCTTGGTCTTTGAATGGCATACTGTGACAGTAGCGTGTTCCCATTTCAGCAACTCTGACACCGGAGTACCCACAATGCGACTCCGCCCGAGCACTACCACATTTTTGCCAGCTATAGTGACGCCGGTCTTCTTAATGAGTTCCACGCACCCGGCTGGAGTGCAAGGAATGAATCCGGACAGATCACCTACTGCTACTCGACCTTCGTTAATTGTGTTTAAGCTGTAGACGAGAGTATGATTGTTCTTTAGAAGTTTGGCGGCCTTGGTTGTAGGACGCATTATGAGGTGATAGATACCCTTCAACCTGACTAAAAAAAAATATTAGTGTAGGAAAACATATCGCAGATCAATAGACACTTCGAAATCATATTTCAAAGAATCCTAATTCACGTTCTGTAATTTTTAGTATCTGATTGGTCAGGGATTCCCAAAATTGTCGATATCAGTTACCTGGGAGTCGTCATGAACGAAAACCGCATAGTTTTTAAGTTAGAGTAGACATAGGATATTAAAGTAATTTGGCTATGTTGTTTTTTTTATGAATGAAGGATTGCTGGTGGCCCAGAGACCTTTCCATTTTCACCAGGACAGTAGGCCGAGCAAAGGCTCAGGCAGGAGGGGTGGGATTTGCTAACAGCTGTCCAAAGGAGAGCTCACAATTCAAGGCCAACTGCTTCGCGAATGAATCTACTACGGGATCGGAATAGCGACCCGCTGAGAAGGTCCGGCAAGAAACTCAACGGGCTGATGCATGGATTAGGTTGCACGTCGCACTCTTTGTCGAGTTCGATGAGTACGGTTACTGGGGTCCGTAAACCTGCTCCTAGCGTTAGAGCTGAAGGCGTGTAATTCAAGGGTTATTGGGTGTGATAGATCCGTAAGGACTATGATGGTCTTAATTATCAGTTCATTTTGGAAAATGAGTCTCTTGTCCAAAATCCGCTGGGAACCCTCGGCTTAAGAAGAAATACGATTCATATTGGTCACTTAGGCTTAAGAAGCAATGTGCAATTGAGTTATTAGATTTGAAAAGAGAAACTCTTTTTACCCGTCAACATCTTTATCAGGTGAGACAGCATCAGTGACTCGATGAGCGTCGATCGCGTGGTCCGAATCAAGGGGCATTTGAACAATGATGCCGTGAACGGAAGGAGATTCGTTCAGACTCGTTATTTTTGCTAACAGCTGCAATCAAACGTGTTAAGTTTCATTATTATGAGTGAAATTTGTTGAGTCTGTCTGCGCTTTGCCAGTTTTAGGGAGTAAAGATAAGAGAAAGAACGTTGCACGTTAGACCGATTTAATTAGTTTTTTGCATAGCTATCACTAGTGAGGGGTTATACTAACTTCACCGAACGGGCTAGGCGAACGGTTCCAATATTAAGTAATATATATGGTATTTAAGCAATCTTTTTTTGAAAATATCGTTAGCGAAATGCAGGCATCTGTCAAATATCTTGTGTTGTATATTAATAGCTGCTATCCTCTACATATTTTTACGTGTTTCAGATTAGCATAAAGACTTCATTAAGTGGCCTTTCTATTAATTAGTAGTCGCTTATTGTTTTGGCAGAAAAAATCAACATTTGTTATTGCAATAATTTATGGTTTGTTACGTAATGTTACATCAGATTAATTACGTACGAAAGTGTACAACAAAACAAGAGAGACTGTCTTATCAAATGTCATAAGATCAAGGGTGTAGAGCACTTGAAACCGCGCTGCTTCAATTGTTTTTTCTTGAAGTCTTATTCGAATTAGAAACAAACGTATTTGCTCCCAAAATATATTTTATCATTAGTATATAATAGATAAAATAATAAGTGATTATGTTTACGACTCGTCTTAAAAATAAATAAAAAATAATGAAAAGATCATAAATTAAAATGTCCATGCATTCTTTTTCTTACAGCTTGTAGTATTCGCACATAGTTTTTGCGCCATTTTATTAAATTCTATCCAAATATTACACTTTACTACACATATTCGTACCATCTGAAATTAGATTTTTGAACCAGGGAATACCACATAGCTAAAAATAAAAATAAAAATACTAAGAGTATTAGGAGAACATTAGTCAGTCGATGGTTGTTGAATGCAAATATTTAATTGATTATTTTCTATTTACAACGTTTTTCTGGTTTTTTTTCAAATTGTTGTTATTTTTGTTTTTGTTTTACGTTTTGCTTTAATTATTTAATTCTAGGCGACGCGACGCCACAATGGTGGTAGTTGTAAGGTTAGATTTGTGTAAGGTAGATTATTTCGGTACAGCCTATCGGGTGAAAATTCCTTTGTACATACAGTACTTAGTGATGAACTCAAACATTAACCCAATAAACATTAAAAATTTTCAAGAGAAACAGTAGTTAGCGAACCTGACTGCTGGTTTTGATTTCCACATCGGGCAAAGATTCATATGATGCACAAAGTTTTTTGCCTGGCTGTCAAATATCGATATATCCATTTATTTAACAGTACAGTCAAACCTGGATAAGCGAGAGTTCAAGGGAGCACAATCTTATTCTCCCTTATAGAGGTTTCTCACTAACCCGAGTTTCTCCTTAATGCACCCTCTGAACTTCATTTCGCGATTTTCCGGATTCAAACGCATTAACTATTTTAAGTTTATCACTTAATGACAGTACTTTAATTTTCCGTTTTGACATGATGCAGAACAGAACTTTCCTTCGCAATTGATTAACGATAAACTGAGTAAGTTCGACAAACAGGACGGTACACAAGCACACGTGTCCATTCGAAAAGCATACGATAAAATAACAACGTTATTTAGTTCCACGAAATAGAATATTCAATATTGACGAGAAAACAATACAAAAACAATGGTAGGAAGTTCCACGAAAGCTAAGAATGAGTCATAAAATAGCAGATGTTCAATTTGTAATTTGTTTTTTCATTTGTTCCTCCTAAATAATATAAATAAATAAAGCTCGACTGTCGCTTATAGAGGTATAGTTAGGTAGCTGTCTCACTTGTGGAGGTCCATGAGGGAAAAACGACTCTCTCTTACAGAGGTTTCTGTTTCTCGCTAATAGAGGTTTTGGGAGCTTAAAATGACGGGTCCTGGCTATTACTCTCACTTATAGAGTTTTCTCACTTATCCAGTTCTCACTTACCCAGGTTTGACTGTATATGATAGTGATAGTGTGTGAGTTATCCCGGATTACTTCTTTATTTTTTTAATACTGCTGCAAACATCCAACATAATTATAAATCTTCGAGTCAGGGGCAATTCTTATTTAGGCAAAAGTAGTTGTGATTCTAGATTTAGTTTTATCACAGGCTATACTAATATATAAATCTACAACTGTTTTTACGGATGTTGCGTTATAACTACTGAACCATGCATCCGATTGACTCGAAACTTGATATCCATGTAGAAAATACATGTACTTAATGGATAGGCTAATATTTATATGAGTCTTGGACTCCCATGACATGATTTTAAATGCCCAGCGAATCGGGCGAGTACGGCTAGTATTCTATAAGGTACCTCTATTTCAGTGATGTCCCTTGGTAAGCGGATATGTTCGGCGGCGATACCAATTTTCTCAGCTGCCTTCAGCTTCATCCTGATGTAGACGTTGGAGTCCTCGCGCCCGCCCACCTGCACGATGGCAAGCCTGGGCTCGAAGCCAGACCATTTTGAACGGAGCCTAGTCACTTGTTGACGCAGGTCATTTTCTATAGATCTGTATGTACATTTTTGGTAATTTGAATTTATTATGTTTATTATATAAGTACGTACCTACGGGCAGTCTGGCACGGATGGACAGGCAAACAGTACGGACGCCTGTTTATTATTTTTTAACATTACATATTACACAGTACGGTACGTACAGGTACAGTGGACCTGTGCGTACCTATGTCCAATAAGTAGGTACATTGACAATTTGTAATGTTAATAAATAATAAACAGGCGAAAAAAAAAAGAAAAAAGACATTCTAATTTTAAAACACATCAAAATCTAAATCTGTTTCTTTAGCGAAAGCCATTGACGCAATGAAATGGAAACTAATAAACTATTTTATTTCACGACCGTATCTATAGTTTGTTTCATTCGATTTTATGCCAAACATTAACAAAAATAGTTTCATTTTTATAAAAAAAAAAAAAAAAATATTACTTTGGACTCTTCAAATACTTCAGTTTTTATTGTCGTTGATTAATTCTCCGCCCCCTTTTTTACGGAGTACGGAGCTGTAAAACTCAGATTTTGTCCTGTATGTAGTGTTCGCTTAAGTTATATAAGCTAAAGATTGCTAATAATTTCTTTCATAACAGAAAATTTACACACTGAAAAACTAAGTTCACTGTAATACTCGTAATAAATCTATTTGAACCAATTAAGACTCTACCACGGTTAAAATAAATAAATAAAAAAATATGCTTAACAAACAAGTAAAGAAACGCTTATAATTGAACATAGTTTTTAATATTTACCCTGCAACTTCAATCCCAGATATAATTTGTGCCATCTTAGCCCAGAGAACTGTCTCGTTGGTCGATCCAATCCCGACTGCTCTCTCGGACTGAGATGGATCGAAGATGCAAGTGACCCTTATGATAACCCCATAACCATCAAAATATCATCGGGTTATATTGGATTTACACTAAAAAAATCTTAATATTCCGTATTTTTTTAACATCACAATCACTTTAGTTTTTAAAAGTTTGTTTACACAGGAAATAAATAGTACATATAATAATAATCAAGCAGATTATTGAAATTTACCTTAAATATTAAATAAATAACGTACCATATATTATATATAAATTGAAACTTATTTATTACAAGCCCGTGAACATTTCAGATTATTTCATACCTTAGACATTGATGACTGAAAAATCTTGTGATCAAACCGAAGATTTGTTTAGGATAAAATAATTTCATATTTATTCTCGCTTGAACGACGCCGAACCTCACTTCTATCCTTCTCCTATATTCAAACTGAAGATTATAAATTAAAGGAACTGGAATTGTTGTCTCACAGATAGTGTTATTAGTTTGAACACATGCGCTATCAAACATTGATTTTGTGAAATTTAAATGGATGTAATATATCCAATTCCGATTCTAATTATTCAAATTCCAATTTATATATATTATTATTTATTATATAAATTATTATATTATATAATGTGTATAATATATTTTTTACCATCAATCGTGTACATCTCAATCATTGAGATAAAATAAAAATAAATAATTGATAGAATGTGAACATATATTTTAATCAAGCGCTGTTTAAATTGAAATATTTATAGAGTTCAATAATTACAGTAGGTACTTTAAAGTTTGCGGAAAAATTTATGCGCTTTCGCTCATCTCTGATCTTTCAACAAACAGTTCACTCATGCCTGTACCATATTTCGCGACAATTGCAACAAAGCGTAGCTGCTGCAGCTCTTCAATTCTTTAAACACAGCGAGGGAAGGAATCTACCAATCTACAGTTGCAAATATGTAAACAAATGCGTACGTATCTATGAGTTAGATACTTGCATTAAATTGTTTTGTACGTTGAACATATTGATCAATCAATTAGGGACAATTGAGGAATGATTGAATCCTCTTGCTTGCAGGAAACTATCTTATATTTTCTTATTCATATTTTCATTTAACTTTATGCCCAAAGGCTATTATTTTAGCTTTATGCCCAAATCCTACAGCGGCGAACTTAATGGCTAACACATTTTCTGTCAATCAGCCAAGGATGTGGTAGAGCAGTGCTGTGGTAGATAAATTGCTTTATTGAAAATTAAATATTATACGCATATACAGATAAACAGACACGTCATATATATACATACATAGCGTAAAACGCCATATATAATATATTATCATAAACATACTTATCAGACATTATACAAACAAAAAATACACTTAGGTAAATAGCACCGAAAATACTAACAATCATAATATAAGATTGTAGATCTAGTTATTAGATGTTACTGCCCGTTCGGTTTGAAGTTTTAGCGTCAACAATAGATAATATACGCTCTTGTTTTACTTCCGATCTATACGTTTATACCAAACGTTTATGTTGAAATGATTTCGTGGCCTCTCTATTCTTAAGCCCTGACAGGAGTTCAAATTTATTCCTAAAAACATTCGCAAAAGAGATAAATACCTCGGCTACTAGACTATTTGTAGGAACGTCAAAATAAATGCAAGCTAATCGAGCTACGAACGACCGCGTTGTTCTCTATTAACAAGAAAAAGGGATAAAACTAAAATACATAACCTTACAGTACTCTGTCATCAATAACATATATTCCGTCTTCAATTACTGGTGGTAGGACCTCTTGTGAATCCGCACGGCTAGGTACCACCACCCCGCCTATTTCTGCCGTGAAGCAATAATGCGTTTCGGTTTGAAGGGTGGGGCAGCCGTTGTAACTATACTGAGACCTTAGAACTTATATCTCAAGGTGGGTGGTGCATTTACGTTGTAGATCTCTATGGACTCCAGTAACCACTTAACACCGGGTGGGCTGTGAGCTCGTCCACCCATCTAAGCAATAAAAAAAAATTCGATTCAGCATAACACGGACCAACTTGAATTGAACTCATGGTTCTGATTAAGGAATACGTTATCCCTGTTTGGCATTGGACAATCCGGATCGGCATTAACAGAAGACACCAATTTTTGTATATAACCTATTAATATGGACGAGAAAGTACCAATGGTGGATATGACCAGAATCGCAAATCACAAAGTCGTCAAACATCACAATGTTTTTATCACAAACAGACAATTAACTTTATTCGTTAATTGAGTAGAGATAAGAAATGATATGCAATTAGTTAATATTGATTTCAACTGTCGTACTTTTTAGATTATTCTAACAGAATTTGTTATACAAATTCAGCACTATATGTATTGTTTTGTCGTGCGCACATAACCTATGTTGCAAGCCAGATTTTGTTTCTTTTTATTTGTGTTTTTTATGTATCTTTAGCTTGTGATGTGTATTGTGAGCCTAATAAAAAAATAAATAAAAAAAATAAAAAAAAATGTAATTGCTAGCGGTATGTAGGAACTTGCTTTGTTACGTTACACATTAAAATATTCCTGAATCCTGTATCTGATACATATTTTGCATTTTCTCACACCAATAAATTTACGTACTTCATTCATACAATACATTTGCTCTGTATTTGTTATGCAATATCAATTTGGATCGTAACAAGAACACGCTACATTTTCCAATTTGTATTATGTATAATTTACTACGCGGTAGAAATTGACATTATGATGGTACCAGCGCGTGTAAACATACACATCTAACACCATACACAGGGACGTCTTAAACTAGGATGGGGCCCTTGGGCACACAAGAATTTGAGGCCCTTTTGGAAAGTAAAAAAAGCGAATTATAATAACATTTTTTTACTGAGTTTGAGACCATTTATTATAAGTAATCAAATACAGTATGATATAATATCTCATTAATGATATTAGAATGCTGCTGGTTTTTTGGTTACGATATCGATAACGGTTTCTTTCGGGATTTCTGTTGAGCAAAATCTTCTATTATAGTCATAGTATATGCCTTGTTAATACCTTCTGATTACTGATTTGTGAAAAAAGTGTAATATGCCCGACAAAAATGTTTTGAGAACAAACATGTGAGAGAAATTGTCGGTCTTTCGGGGACCCCTGAGAATGGGGCCCTGGGTACGGGCCCCGTGTGCCCTTATGGTAAAGACGGTATTGACCATACATATACAATTACGCAAATTTACAAGTTTTCCTTCATCGTGAAATTCATTCGCTGTATGTTGACTTTTCATTAAAAGTATTGGTACCAAGATTGGTACATCGGCATAGTCGCGTCGCTTGATAAAACATTAGAGAGTCGTATCCTTTAGACCACAACTTGAGACCGTAAATACTTCATTAATACTTTTTTTTTAATCTTGATGTGACAAAAAAAAATAGCCGAATGAATGTAGACGGTCATATTGAGGATACCTATGGAATAAGCTTATCAGTGCATACACAGTTCACGTTCATATTATCTCAGTATCTACGACCGCTTGTGTGCATTGTGTTTATTACAATAGAATATTGGGTACAGAAGATATTTATCTACACGTTGTATAATCTTAGTTGAGAAGACCTACTTGTTTATTATTATTCTTTATTTTATTTTCATTTAAATATGTACCTATCTATTTGTAATTTAATTTTGACTTAAATGTATATCTGAATATATGGATTATTATTATCTGATAAATACATGAAATAGCGTTATTATTATTTTTGTGGACAAAGTTTTTATTCTCGAATTTTAACGAATTTCGGTAAATACTAAAAACCACGGGCCTAAGCCAAGTGGAGTTCATTTTTAGTTTTAATTTCGTCTGATGTTTCGTCCTGCAACAACTTCCGAACAATCCGGCACGTATTTAAAATGATGGCCTTTTGCATGGTAAAAAAATATTATTAGGTGTTATACATCGATATTTAACCTTACGAAAAACAATTCCGACATAATGGTAATTTAAATTTTAAAACTAATTACATTAAGACATACTTAGCATACTTAAATACTAATTAAACTAATTCCAAAATATCATTTGTGTAATTGTACATTTTTACAACATACGCTCTGTTTGATAAGACTTCAAACATTGTCATAGTTATATCATAGCATGCTTACACAGCATTAACGTGCCGTAATGAAATTGAGATTAGGTACTTACCAGATAGGTACAGATATATCTTTAATAAAAATCGAAGTAGAATTCAATTAATAGCTACTGTTAAGACGAAAAAAGAGAATTCTTCAAACTATGATAAACGTTTTGATGCTCTACAAATTTAAATAATATTATAAAAGATCACTTACTCTTGCACAGCTTCCAATTCTTCAGAATTCTTCCACATAATCGTGATTCTCAGTATCTTTATCACGATACAACAGTAAAAACAAATTCGCCGGTTCCGTGAGCAACTTATTTTACACTAAAATGCACTGCAGACGAATACGTCCAGCTAGGTTTGACAAACCAACAAAACTGGTTTTAAGCATTTGAATAAACATGGACATACCGGTTTTATATTTTAATACATTAATTTTACAAATTTCCGCTGGTAACGTTTTGTTTCATGGAGGTCTATTGTCCGCTCTTGTATTTAAATTAGATATTTTTCTTTCATAGAATAGAACAGTGATTTGAATTTTGTTGAATCTCCAAGCGGTAAAATAGATATCGTATTTTTAAGAAACAACGGAACAGACTAATCCTTAGTTTGCGTATCAATTTTAATATAATTACATGTTGTTTGATTTAGAATACTGGTTACTTTGTTCTTTTTCAAACAAGAATGCACAATTGTATGACAGTATAAATTATCAGCGTGGACTTTACTGGACGTATGATATGTCGTGTATTCTATGAAGAGTGAGAGAGACAATACCTACTAATATTACATAACAGGCAGTACATAAGCAATAATATAAACAAATTTTGAAAAATATTATAAACACGGATGGTCTTTGCTGAAAATGAAAGAAAAGGTGGAATTAACTTCCTAAATAAAAGCACTCAACATTTTTTTTGTTAGCTGACTACACTCGTATTTACGAGACTGGAAAATTTGTGTCCTATCCATGTAAATATTTCTGAAGAATAGAAAATGCACAGTAACGTAATAAGCGTAGATTATGTTACATTACTAGTACTAAAGTATAGAACAATTACTGACTTATATCAAAGTACTCGGCTCCAGTTTTAAATTTGTATTATTTTTAAAGTTCCTGTTAATGTAACATAAAAATAAACGATTTACCTGCAAAAAGGACTCTTATGGATATTGATGGTGGGGCGTCCGTACGGTACCACAACCCCGTTTTTTTGGTCGTGGGGCGTTTCGGTTTGAAAAGGCGGGCAGTCGTACTTAAAACCAAGACTTAGAGCTCTTGTCTCAAGCTGGGTAGGGTTTAACGTTGTAGATGTTTATGGGCTGAGGTTATTATTATAAACAGAGTTGGCTGTGAATACATTCATCCATCCACGCATTGAAAAAAAGGAGGGCATCCTACCTCGGAACTGTTCAATGTGAATCGTTTTTATTTTTCCTAAATTGATACTAACTTTGGCGCCGTAGAGATTTTTTTTAAACTCAAACGGATACGACACAAACTACAAACATATTAGGGGTTAAAGTATGAAAAATAATTACTGATTTTTACTGAAAATTTTAAATTGTTTTTTTTATTTATTTTTTTATACATATTATCTATACATTGCTGCCATCTAATAGGAAGGTCATTTATGCCTTTGCGATAGAGTTCTGGTGATCTAGATTCTACAAACTGTGTTAAAGCATTTTGTACTGCCTCCTAGAAAGAAAACTTTTTATCACGTGAAAATTGTCCAGATCACGAAAAAATGGTAGTCCGTTGGAGCAAGGTCCGGCGAATACGGAGCGACGAATGGTTTCTAATCGCAGTTCCTGTAGAGTTAAAACGGCTTCTCGTGCTGTATGAGATCTCGCGGTATCATGGAGCAATAATGGTGGTGGTTACTGGTGGTAGGACCTCTTGTGAGTCCGCGTGGGTGGGTACCACCACCCTGCCTATTTCTGCCGTGAAGCAGTAATGCGTTTCGGTTTGAAGGGTGGGGCAGCCGTTGTAACTATACTTGAGACCTTAGAACTTGTATCTCAAGGTGGGTGGCGCATTTACGTTGTGGATGTCTATGGGCTCCAGTAACCACTTAACACCAGGTGGGCTGTGAGCTCGTCCACCCATCTAAGCAATAAAAAAAAAAAATAAAAAAAAATATGGTAAAAATCGATTCATGAGTCGGGGCTGTTTCACTGAAGTTTTGCTATCATTGTTCGGAGTTCGGCACAGTAGACATCTGCCGTTATTGCTTGACCAGTTCGGAGAAAGCTATAGTGAATAACACATGCTGAGACCACCAAGCAGTTACCATTACCTTTTTATTGGTAAGCTTTACTGTTGCGGCGTTTGACCTAGAGTAAGCCATTAAATGTTTCGCTTACGGTTATCGTACAAAATCCACTTTTCATCACATGTCACAATTCGATCCAACATTCCTTCATTTCTGTATCGATTCAATAAGGAAACACAAGTTTCAACACGCGTTTCTTTCTGCAGATCAGTCTAATCATGAGGCACCCATTTTTCATATTTTTTTATTTTATTGATTTGATGCAAATGCGTCAATATTGTTGGTAAGGTAACGTTAAGCCATGCCGCTAATTCCTGCGTAGTTTGGCTCGGATCGGCTTCCACCATCTCTTTCAATTTATTATTATTCAAATGTGTGGGCGGTCTTCCACGTGGTTCTTTCTTCAAATCAATTCCATCACGAAAGCGTTTAAACCAAAATCGCACGGTGCGTTCATTAGCAGTCCCCATTCCAAACGCAGCATTGATATTGGGAGGTGTTTCTGCAGCGTTAGTTCCGCGTCGGAGCTCGTATTCGAAAATCACTCGAAATATCTATCTTTCTTGTTTAAGCTGAATAAAAAAAAACAACTGAATATCTATAATGGAATGATGCACATTTTTTTAAAAAAGAACCTCATAGGTACCATTTGAAAAAAGTATCACACAAAAATCTAAAACCATGAAGGACTATGTCAATTTGAAGTACCTATTACAATAAAACGGCAATTTCATACTTTAACACCTATTACTAAAAAAGACACCAATCAATAATAGGATTGAAAAGAAAATACTTTTGAACCAAAACAATCAAAAAGATAGGTCAATCATTTATTCACATCAACATTACAGCTGCTTAGTTATGTGATAAACTAATTAATTATACTTATACACTTTACACAAACTCTTTATCGAGTTAATCTAACTTATGATTCAATTGGGTAGACGACAAACTTTTAGAAGCTGCACCTAATTTCCGTATGGACAGATTCTTTTTTTAAATATTCAGCTAAACGTTTTGTGGCGGGTTGCAGGTATACCTACACAGTGATGTAGTCTGTGGCAGACATCAAATTCCCGCCAAAACGGAAAACCTGTCAGAAGTCTAGAAATATTATGATTGAAAGACTAATATAAAATATTGCTTCAATACAGACACTAATTCAATATCAAAGTGAAATAATTTAATTATTATGTTCGTAGAAGATATTTTACAATATACCCCCAAAATGTTATATGTATAATTTTCTTTTGTTTATATCAACATGGTAGTTTCCTTTAATGCGAACCAAAAATTATATTAAAACTATTTGTACATATAGTGTATACGCATATTCTCAATATTTAAAATAGATTATAATGACGACAGTGATATCACTAGAGATTTCTTAGAACGTTTTAGCGGAAATTTTAAAAATAAAACCTATATTTACACGGCCTTTAATTAGAACAGTGTTATTCGGCGTAACAACAATATAAAGATTCTAAAAGTTTGTGTTCTTACCTATTAGTACTAAGCGAGATCAACTTCGGAAATAAGAAAATGTTACGTAACAGAATGTGTCAAAGACACATTTTAATGTCACAATAAAAAATATCACAAATTACTTTAGTAACCTAAACAAAACAAATATGCCATATTACAAAGCCCGTCTTTCTTAAGCCACAGATCTGGTTTATTTTCAAAGAAAACTTATTTTTGTGTTTTCGATATTAATGACAATTTGAAGATATCGTTTTCTAGGAGTAATATATCGCATCGTATCGTTAGGAACAAATAGGTCATCTTTTCAATGTCACTTAGTTCAAGGTATCATAATTCTAAACGCATAAAATTTGCCCTGAGAGAAAATCTCATCAAAAATTTCAAAACACAAATTTATTTTTATGTTCGTCGATATTATTTCTTTATCGCGAAACTTGAAGAAAAAAAACAAAACAATAAAATAAAGACTAACAAACAATACTTATCGCTTACGTCCGAAGATAATTTGTATAAATCAATATGTTTATACAAGGTTTTATTCTCAACAGTTAACACATTTTTGTTATCAAACAGTTATGTTAAAAATAAACGGAGTCTTGGTGTGAAGATTAAAATGATTTTTTTTAAATGTTATGTTTGGAACATCTGAAAATCTTCTTCCTTTTCTTTGTGAATGTTGGAGTAGAGATGCAGCCTCATGGCGTGAGGCGGCATCGGTCCGGTGCCGCACAGCTTACACGACAATTCGGCGCTTGACGATATCGGAGTCCTAAACGGAAAACAAACAGTATAATAAGTACAGACAATAACACCTTGTATGGGCGGGCAGATTCGCGGGATATCTGTGTGCTTAGTGCGAGTTTTTTAACGTTCTCGATCGCCTAAAAATAAACTCAAAGTACACGGGCCATTTTCGGCCCAACTACTCGTGCTCTCAAGGACATTAATGAAATATCTATAGAAAACAACATTTCATTTTTAGATACTTATTATAAAATTTAAGGGTATTTTAATCTGCTACCGGATTGGAATCGCGACCCACTGAAAAGATCCGGCGAGAAACTCAGCGGGCTGATTGATGCATGGGTTAGGTTGCACGTCGACCTCTTTGTCGAGTCCGACGAGTACGGTTACCGGGGTCCCTAGGCCTGCTTCTAGTATTAGAGCTGAAGGCGTCTAATGAAAAGCAATGAAATGGTAGCATAGAGGGCAACTAGCCTGCTGACGAGTAGCTTGAGTTGGTCGTTGTCTCGCTTGAGGGCCAGCAGGTGGTCGCGCGAGACGGGGTGCAGCTCTAGCGGCACGTGCAGCTCGTACAGCACGGCGCGCTCCACCATGTCGGGCACGGTGATCTCCATGAGCTCGTCCTCGGGCACGCTCTTCCACTCCCACGCGGTCGGCACCGCCTCGGTCGGGCGGAGCTTGCGACGTTTCTTTATCAACCTGTCAATACATACGTACTTTTTAGTACACGAGCGTATAAAAACTACAACTAAAACTTGAAGTCCTTGTGGCCTAAAGGATAAGACGTCCGGTGCATTCGTATCTAGTGATGCATCGGTGTTCGAATCCCGCTAGCAAGTATTATTTTTTTTTCAAATGAAATACGTACTTGACAAATGTTCACAATTGACTTCCACGGTGAAAGAATAACATCGTGTAATAAAAATCAAACCCGCAAAATTATAATTTGCGCAATTACTGGTGGAAAGACGTTTTGAGTTTGCACCACCACCGCCTATGCCTATTTATGCTGTGAAGCAGTAATGCGCTCCGGTTTGAAGAGCGGGGCAGCCGTTGTAACTATACTGAGACCTTAGAATTTATATCTAAAGGTGGGTGGCGCATTTACGTTGTAGATGTCTATGGGCTCCAGTAACCACTTAACACCAGGTGAACTATCAGCTTGTCCACTCATCTAAACGATAAAAAAAAACTGTCGACGGATTCAATATAATACGCCGGAATACCCAATAGTAATCGTAACACAGCTGTTATTGTATCCTTCACATGGGACACGCAAATGTTCCGCCACAGAAATGGGTGAGATAGTTCGAGCAATAAACCTTAGAGATGAGCTTAAAATTTACATTGGTTTTGAACCGGACATCGATAATCAAACTATTTGAAAATGAAACATTTTTCATGTGGCTCACTTCAGTGTATTTATTTATTTCAATCTTACAAACTAGCAGTTGAACCAAAACATTTGTAAGGTACTAATGATAACTTAAGTAGCTTCTTGCAACAATAACAAATCGATGCAAGCCGTCATGGAATTTATCCGTTTCCAAAGCATCGACATAATTGAAAACATGAGTTGATGAAGGGGATATGATATAATTTGATAATTTTGAGAAAACGGGCAACAATTTTTTGTTAAGTAGGTACTTGTACTTTTTATTCGTATATAGCTCCTTCATCACGTGCAATTTCTAGAAATAGCCTTTTAACCCGTAGTTTTAAGTTTTGATATGGTTTATAGGCACATAGCACTCAATGTAAAAATTCAAAAATCAGCACATTCATTCAATGTAAAAAATCAAAAATCTTAAAAATTGTAAATATTTAATAGCCCCTTCATGCACTCATGTCTTCAGTTACTTCAAAACGCCACATAGGGTACCAGTGACCTACATAGCAGTCAATAGGTTAACGAAATGTCTCTAAGTGGGAATCGAGGCCTGTATTAAAGTAGACAGCACCACTAACCAGCCGAAATATGATCGTGTACTAGCTAACTCGGCAGGCTTCGTAGCGCCTCAATCGATAAATAAAAGGCCTAAACTTTCGTATTAAATAAACGTAAAACAAACAAAAGGAATGCGACACATCAAAGGAAAAACAAAACTGTTATTTTTATTTAATTCCGAGCATTTTCATATTTATCTAGCTTTTAAATCTTCTCCGGACTTCCACAAATAATTCAAGACCAAAATTAGACAAATCGGTCCAGCCGTTCTCGAGTTTTAGCGAGACTAACGAACAGCAATTCATTTTTATATATATAGATAATACGTACTGCATGAGATTCTTTCGAATGATGCCGGGAATCTGAGGTCGGAATTCGTCGTCCGCAGTCGGCATGTCCTGTCCCTCGCCGCAGTACAGCATGTAGTCCGTCAGGTAACGATTGTGATTTATCTGTTTAAAGAAAAAATTATAATTAAACGGCAGTTTTTGCAATAAATATAATTCTATACTTTATTAATAAATTAAATTATTATTTTATATTTTTTTACTATTTTAGGTAGGCCTTGCTGACGACCATGAGCGAAGGTAGCCACTCACACTCGGATGAGCCGTACGCTCATCTACCTAATAATAATTATAATCTACGTAGTCTTACATCGAGTGTTCCAGTGTGCATAGTGCGAGTTTTTTAACGTTCTCGATAGCGTAAAAGTTAACTCAAATTTGTATGGAGTTGGAACGTTTACCTAGGCGTGCCGCTAGGGGCGCTCTTCTAACTGCATACAAATGTCAGTTAACTTTTAAGCTATCGAGAACGGGTAAAAAACTCGCATTAAGCACACAGTTCGGTTAGCTATAAAAGCGTGTTTTTTTTTGGTTTTATTAAATAATTATGTTCCAATGTTCAACTAAACTCTAAACGAACGTTTCATTGACCGAATTGTTCCGATTATGTGTTTAGACAAGTGTTTGTGTCGAGCGAGTGTCGAGAGAGTTTCGAGAGAGTGTCAGTACGGTCGAGAGAGAGTCGAGTGTGTTTCGAGTGAGTGTCGAGTGAGTGTCGAGTTCGTGTCGAGAGAGCTTCGAATGAGTGTCGTGCGAGTGTATGTCGAGCGAGTGTCGTGCGTGTGAGGTCCGGGGCGTGTAGTTACCCATCCGATGTCCTCGACGTCGAGGTCGGCGTCGATGTTGACGAGCAGGTCGTGCTCGGGGAAGCGCGGCGCGGCGTCGGGCGCGGCCCCCAGCCCGCACAGCGCGCTCACGTAGCGGGTGGCCGAGCTGTCCCGTCGGAGCTCCGCCCTGCGTCGCGGTCGCATTCCATAATTTAGAAATATGTTAATCGACAAATCGTCCGAACCGACCACAAACATTACTAAGCTCTATTGTAATTTTTCTTATTCATTATTAACGTTCGGCTTCACTCATGTGGTCTACACTTTATATCGTTTCCGTGACCCGTGACCATGGTAATGGAATAAAAAGTACCAAATATTTCTGGGGGGGGGGGGGGTAAATGGCAAACGAAAGATCTTCCGTCGAACGCGCGAAGTGTTTTGCAGACCGGCTGCCTAATGATTGCTCGGAACTTGTATACGGGGTGTCCCACAAAGAGGAAATGTGGTATTTAAATCTTAGACTAAATTCTTCTTCTTTTTCTCCACTTTATCTTCAAATTTTTCTCTTCCATTCTCTTCCATCAGCTGTCTTCTCAACACTCACTTCTCTCTCTCTCTCATATCATCATTAACACACTCCCTCCATCCATGTCTTTTTCGGTCGACCTCTTCCCCCTCAACCTTACACTACCATTTCCATACATCTCCTAATCACATGCATATTCTCTAATTATTAAATCTTTGACTAAATTATTAATTCAATTTCAATGTTCGATAGACATCTGTCTAAGTCATTCCGTAAATTCAATAAAATTAGATTAGGTATAAATATTTTAGGGTGGAAAGCCTACTACTATTAACACATTTCACGCGCACAGTTCAAGTTAAATGAATAGTCACCGTTGTAACTATACTGAGACCTTAGAACTTATATCTCAAGGTAGGTGGCGCATTTACATTGTGCCAGCAACAAAAAAAAAAAGTTACCTCCACATGCCTACTATTTCCACGAGACCGGGGTCTCTTGTACGTAACATCTAACCACTATTACAATGTAACAGAGACCATAATATACGACCGTGTTTGACCTCCACATATCGAATTAAACGATAGTTTCTTGAGCGTGTAACGTACGTGGGACAGAACAGCAGCGCGATGATGGCGGGCAGAGCCGGAATGTTCGGCATCAACGTCGACAGTCGCAGGGTCAGCTTGCTAAAGCTCTCATTCTGTCCGACCTCTGCCGCGACCAGCAACCTGAAATCAGATATTACAATATGTGAAGTCGTCGTGGCCTAAAGAATAAGACGTCCAAGGCATTCGTATCTAGCGATGCAATGGTGTTCGAATCCCGCTGGAAGATACCAATATTTGTAATGAAATACGTACTTAAAAAATGTTCTCGATTGACTTCCACGCTGAAGTGTAATAAAAATCAAAACCCGTAAAATTATAATATGCGTAATAACTTGTAGTAGGACTTCTTGTGAGTCCTTGCACGGGTAGGTACCACCACCCTGCCTATTTCCGTCATGAAGCCGTTGTAACTATACTGAGACCTTAGAACTTATATCTCAAGGTGGGTGGCGCATTTACGTTGTAGATGTCTATGGGCTCCAGTAACCACTTAACAAATAGGTGGGCTCTGAGCTTGTCCACCCATCTAAGCAATAAAAATATAGTGTAATGAAGTTACAGTTAAGTAGTTAGTTACAGTTTAGTTAAGTTAGTTACAGTTACCTTTCGTACGTAATCTGGGGCTCGGTGTCGAGCAGGACCGAGTTGACGGAGCTGCTGTCGATCTGCACGGGCTTGTCGCGGCTCGAGTACATCAAGTTGTGCAACGACGACTCCAGCGGGCTGCAAGTGCACACGCACGTTACGCTCGGCAACGGCCCGCAGTGTATTCGAAAGAGACAACGCTATATGACTTTCTCTTTTACAACAGCTAAGAGGTTCACACAGACCGGCTCGGAGAGGAGAGCAGATTTTTAGTACAATGGAAACAAAGTTTTGAGTAATTGTGGTAAAGTTTATTTTTGGATGTCGTCGCTGTCAAACCGAAATCTGCTATGTGCAAAAACTCTATTTTGAATTAACGAGTAAAAACGTTATGGTATAAAATTTTATATCAAGATGAATTTCAAATAAATATCAAAGAATATCAAAGAAAGCTGTAGATAAATATTAAAGCTATAGACACATAACAGTTTTTTTATACGGTAGATAGGGCTGTGAACTATACGAAAAGGTCAAAAAGTCAAAATCTCAAAAAGTGCATAAAGCAGATTTTGGTTTGACAATGACGATGTGCACTTTTTTGTCATTAAAAATGACAAGAGGAGTCGACCGGCTCCGATAGCGCTCTCTTTCTCGCTCGCGTAGCCGATCGGCTTTCAGATCTCTTCGAGCCGGTCTATGTGAAATAGTAGACGGCTCCGCTCCGGCCAATTCCAAACGTATACGATCCGGTCTGTGTGAAAAGAAAAAAGCGAGCCGATGCTCTCCGAACTGATCAGTGTGAACGGACTCTAAGCGCTTGATGAAATCCGCGACATCGATTAATCTATGATTCCCGGAATCGTTTTGATGAACGCTAATATTTTCCGGAGCACGTTCGTCCGTTAAACAAATTTCGATATGTTTATCGATTTTTTTTTGTGTAGTAATTATCAGCATTGTAGGTTTTCAAGGACATGCGTATTCCATAATCGAAATTTAAAGCGATGGGAGGTGGGGAACGTCCTAGTTTTCGCATTCCTAGATATTACAGAGTAAGACTATGTAGTTGATTTGATTTATTTTCTTATTCTTTTTTGTTACAAGACACAATATAGAATTAAAATACGATTAACTTGGGTATAGAATATTCTAAATAAAAAAATTACTTACCTGTAGGGTCCTTTGAGGCAAACATCCGCAACACATTCCCTGTAATTAGGCGGCGCCGCGTCCCCTAGCTGGTAGAACGCGGCTTCCGTCTGCTCCTTGTTATAAGCTCGCTTCTGCGCGAGGTTCAGTTCGTTCGCAGTCTGTCTCAGGTCATGGTTCAGCTAACGAATTAACACAACACAGTCTTTAAGTACACAACGTTTCTAAGTACAACATTTCACAGACATGTGTGCGAATGATTAAAATAAAATATTTTAAGCATCTGTCAAGAACTACAGTCTGGGTTAGAAATAGAAATAAAATGAAACAAAGGTATCCTCCAAAAAATCCACCGAAAGTCTCAGTAAATGACCACCATTTTACTGAGATTATATTTCATTCCATATCATTTCATCTCATTTCATTTTGTTTCATTTCATTTCATTTCGTGCCATGTTTCATATTAATCGACTTCGTTTCATTTCAATAATATCATTCTTCATATAAAAAAAGCTTTCATTAAAATTAAGTCTTGACATAAGGTCTTAGTTACCAGGTCATAAAATCTCTTAAAAAAAAGTAAGCACGAATAGACAACACAATCTTGAGTATTTCTGTCACGAAGCAGGCATGTATTCTTGCTTGGAAGGCGCGACAGCAGTCGTAAAATAAAGTTAAGATAACCTCACGTCTGAAGTCGGTTGGAGGTACTAAAGTTGTGATGACTAATGGGCTCCACCAATCTCTTTACTTCATATGGACCACGAGTTCGTTTACCCTTCTAGATAATTGAGAAAGTGTTGGCGTGGTGGCATTTAATATAGAAACTTGCTTTATTTATTTTAAAACTGTTATTCAACTATCAATTTACTCACCTTAGATTCGTAACTCTCTTCACACGGAACAGCAAATCCTTTTTTAATTAGTATTTCATTAACGCTTACATGGCCGCCATCTGTGAGCAGTTCGATAGCTACGACGCCATGTACTACAGAATAAACCTGAGTAAAAATTTTAGTTTAATGACTTTAAGAAAATCAAGAGATCGTGAGCATATTATATTGATTCTGTCTTATGTTTATGTCATTTAGATTGGTGGACGAGCTCACAGCCTACCTGGTGTTGAAAGGTGGGGCAGCCGTTGTAACTTTACTGAGACCTTAGAACTCACATCTTATGGTGGGTGGCGGTATTTACGTTGTAGATGTCTATGGGCTCCGGTAACCAGTTAAGACCAGGTGGGCTGTGAGCTCGTCCACCCATATATGCAATAAAATAAAATAATAAAATAAAATAAATGTTTTTATCTCTGTTGCAATAAATAAATTTAATATTTCTTTATCGATTACTAGCGACCCGCCCTCCCTTCGCTTCGGAAACTGTAATTTATTATTAATTTCTCCACTATTTAATAGATGTTATTATACATATAAACCTTCCTCTTCAGAGAGAGAGAGAGAGAGTACACTTTATTGCACACCAAAACACAATTTACATTCAAAAACAATCAAAAAAAGCAGATACATTTGTACAATAGGCGGTCTTGTCGCTAAAAGCTCAAGCTCAAAAGCCTCTTCAATCACTATCTATTAAAAAAAAACGCATCAAAATCCGTTGCGTAGTTTTAAAGATTTAAGCATACATAGGGACAGATATAGGGACAGAGAAAGCGATTTTGTTTTATACTATGTAGTGATTAGATTGATTACTTTCTCGATTTAAAGGTGTGATGTTAAATGTGCAACAGAACGCTATCGTAGATTGATTTGTGCTTATCAATATAACACCTTGGCTATAAGACGCGGACGCGAGATGAGCTCCCGGAAGCAGCTGTAGGCCTGCGGCGACCAGGCGGGCCGGTCGTGCAGGCGCCGCGCGGGCGCTACACCGGCCAGCGCGCACGGCACGCCCAGCGGCGGGCACGTGCGGCTCGCGCCCGCCGGCAGCGCGTGCAGGTTGCACGTGCTCACGCGCCCCGTGCCGCCGTAGTCCATGTACGCCACCTGCGACAGCCGACGATTGTACGGATCACACAAACATGACAAAACGTGGTACTTGCACACTTTTTTTTTCCTACCTATGCTAATAGTCTTGAGAGGCTATTTCAGCTTCACCCTAATGTGTGTAGATGAGCTCACGGGGCTCAAACCGGAGTGTTGCTAACACTGACCCTAGCAAGAGCAGTGCTTCGCAGAATCTACCATCGGATCGGAAAAGCGACCCATTGAGAAGATCCGGGGAGAAACTCAGTGAACTGTGTCTGTGGGTTAATTCGTTCGTCGAGCCGTTCTTCGCAAGCGACGGGTTCGACGAGGACGGTGACCGGTGCTTGTGGTGCCTAAAAGCACCGTTAATGGATCGGGAGGATCCGTAATGACGTGCTTTGGGCAACGTCGACTGTTTACCATTTGGTCTACAGGATCGGGTATGCTTGCACACTAAGCATATTATTTAGTACTGGGAACTTGAATTCTTGATTATACAATCTGGTGTAACAGAGGAAGTCTCGCGTCGAATCACGCAATAAAGCACGCTCTAAGTGATGTGGATCACAGAACAGTATAACATCCCAAACACAGTAAATAAGCAACTTTAGGATTGTATGAACACATTGCTGAGAGTGAAAATTTGTTCTGCACCTCTCGGCCGCGAAACACGTGGCGTTGTCTTACCTCGACCATGTCCATGGGCAACAATTTAAGCACCCGCACTCGGCACATGACGGTCCCCGAGGCGTCCGCGTAGGGGGCGGCGTATATCTCGTCCGCGGACACGTCCCCAGTGTGGGTCAGCAGGGGCCCGTGGTTCAGCGCGTACTGGATAAGGCGGAGTTCGGCTGCGGTTGATTCATCGTCATATTGCACCCAAAACTTCCCAACGTTCACCTCCTGAAAAGTGATTTAACATAAATTATAATTTATTGAAAATATCNCGGTCCCCGAGGCGTCCGCGTAGGGGGCGGCGTATATCTCGTCCGCGGACACGTCCCCAGTGTGGGTCAGCAGGGGCCCGTGGTTCAGCGCGTACTGGATAAGGCGGAGTTCGGCTGCGGTTGATTCATCGTCATATTGCACCCAAAACTTCCCAACGTTCACCTCCTGAAAAGTGATTTAACATAAATTATAATTTATTGAAAATATCCTAATGTACATAATGTATTACCAATTGATCTGATGAAAAAAATCTAGAGTATTCAGTGATAGGAGTGGGAGGAATTAATTACATTGGGTCTACGGAGAGAATTCGGTTCTCTTGTACAGTATGTTCCATGGGGAGTTCTCGAATTGTTAGAGAGGACTTCACCTTTTTTAATTGCTCTCGTAGGCATATGGCCCATTGGTTTGGCCAATAAAATTGGCCATGGCTGTATTATTTTTTTGTGGGTTAATTCAGAACTTTTTTCTAAGTGAACCGGTTTTGATAAATATTTTAGTTTCGTTTTTCAATTATACTAAATAATGCAAATCGACATTAATGATTTTCTCATTTTGTAGTTCAAATTGTTTTTCTTAACTTGTTAATTATTTTAATATAATTACTAGCATCGATATCAGCAGATTACTGTCTTGCCTACCCGGGAGCTGTGCTCTGCTGTCGATAGGGATGTCACAATGTGTAGTTAACGTTTATCGACACATAAATCCTATTTACTTGTTACTACGATAATTTATAAAGAATTTTCAAATTACTTCCAGTGTTGTTACTATTGTTTTGCATTAATGTTCAATTACTATAAAGCTTTAAGAACGTACGTGGGTAATTTTGAGTGGGAAATGAGTGTCATCGATCTCCGGAAGGCGCGGCACTGTCCTTTCCATGCTGATATCCTTGTTGTTTATTTGCATTGCGCTTGCCAAAGCATTTGCTTTTTCCAGGCTGCAATAATAAAAATGAATTGAAAATTCTAGATGAAATGAATATAATTAAAAATTAAATTTAGACTGAAATATTAAAAAATCACTGTCTCAAAAATTTATTGGATGATATTATATTCTATCTAATTATATTTATGTAAAAAAAAACTGCACTGAATTTGATAACATTTCTATACAACTGATAAAAATTATGTTTTGAATTCCGTTTCTAAATCAACGAGCTAAGGCAGCAAAAAAAAAATAACCAAATTGAGAACATCATCCTTTTTTAAATCAATTAAACGTAAAACACAATTTTTTTTAAATTCTAGATTTAAAAATTCTGTGGTCATGGTAAGATTTTATTCTTGATATTTAGAAAATCTCGTGTAGTCACTTACGGCAGTAAAGGTATCCTGATATCCAACCGAAGTTGTCGAGCTTTGATACATTTGTAAACAGGTAGTGCCACTTGACCGGGAATCGTTGGATCCTGATTAAGTAAAAGTAACAATGTGAATAATTTGTGCGTGATGTGTCAATTTTTATTCTTTTAAAGTCATACTTACGCCACTATTTTCTTTTTCACTTCTCGACAGGTAGCTCCCGTCATTGAAGGTCAAGAACACCTTTCTGCAAAACAATAGATAGGTAACATATGAGTCGTCTATTATCAAAGGCGGCAATCTGTACATTTGGACAAAAAAAATTTATTGATATGTCAATACAGATTTATTTGAATATAATCGTCTCCTTCAAAGAATACGGTTCAAAACCTGCATTAAATAAAGGTTAATAGTTAANGACAGGTAGCTCCCGTCATTGAAGGTCAAGAACACCTTTCTGCAAAACAATAGATAGGTAACATATGAGTCGTCTATTATCAAAGGCGGCAATCTGTACATTTGGACAAAAAAAATTTATTGATATGTCAATACAGATTTATTTGAATATAATCGTCTCCTTCAAAGAATACGGTTCAAAACCTGCATTAAATAAAGGTTAATAGTTAACCTGTTATTTATCTAAGATGTCGTTTCGAAGAGTTTTGTGACTGCCAATCGAATACAAAGTCAATAATTCGTTTTTCTGATTTACCAATCATTGTCCAAAAGTCAGATTGCCGCCTTTGATAATAGTCGACTCATATTAAGGTTGGATCATGATGAAATTCCAGATAGGAGGAATCTTTAATTTGAAACACTTGGTGGGCAATTAATCCAGTCTGTATTGGGGACTAATTGATATGTGCCGATGTGTAGTGCGCGGTATGATATAGTTGATACTTCATCGTCTAATTTTATGATTTAGTTTTCTATTTTTTCTACTCTCCCGTTCACTATTATCTAGTCTGATTTGCCTCTACTGGAAAATTTCTCTCTAATTGACTGAAACAATTTAGGGTGATAATGTCGATTATGATTTTTCACAAATCTTTCTGTAAGCGCTGTGCATTTACATTCATTTCAATGGTAGTCAGCAACTTGCCTCTGCCCTTGGCATTGCTGACGTCCATGACTGACGGTAACCATTCACCGTCAGGTGGGCCGGGCAATATGGTCGTCTCCTAACAAGGCAATAAAATACTACTACTACTATAGTTACCTCCCGTTTTTATCAAATGAGACGCAGGGTTCGTCTCCTATTTGTTGTTTTACTACTTTTTTGATGAGAGACGCATACACCTCCCCGGGCTGGTGATCCGGAAAGTTCCTCAAATAAACCTAGAAAAAAAAAAGTTTTGAAATATTCACATCGCTAGAGTTACGTAAACATCTCATTCTAAGTGGCGATAATTCGTTCTAATTGGTGAATACAAGTGTAATTAAAAATTCGAACAAACCCAATATATTGAATAAATTATATAATCATTACGCGATTTTTCTTAAGACTAGACTTAAAACGAAAAGAATTGATATTTAAATTTTCCGAATAATACTTCAACTCAAGCTTGTGAATTAATTTACCAACGGCAACACTATCAACATTCACGTGGTTAGGATTTTTTGGCGGGAACGCGAGGAGTGAAGTTGTGTGATTTGTTTCATTTTGCCTATTTCGTGTTTCTTCAGGTTTAAATGTGTAATAACGGTGGTTTATTAACTGTTTAATATCTGTGAAAGTGCACAAATGTGGGAAAATAAAACAAAGCCGCTGAACGTAACTTCTCGGGATCCTCCAAAAGTCCACTGAAAAAATCTCAGTAACTGACCACCGTTTTACTGAGATTATAGTTCATCTCATATCATCTGATCTCATTTCATATCATCTCATCCCATTTCATTTAATTTCATCCCAGTTGATTAATGTCTCAAATTAATAATCTTCATTTCATTTCATGTCACTCCATATTATCATATTTCATATAAAAATACTTAAGAATATAAATTAAAGTAAGATATGACTTAAAGGTCTTAGTTACCAGGTCATAAAATCCCTTAACAAAAAAAAACACGTGGTGAGGTGCTGATAAACTAGCGTACCGTGTTCCTGGGGTCGAACCCGCTGAGCGTCCGCAAAGCCTCACGTTCTCGTTCTTCGTCTTGTGACACTTGTATGAAGTATTGTGGGTAGAATGCGCCCGCCATTATTACCTAATTCAAAAATAGCATTATTCTATTGAATGTGAACATTGAAGTCAGGAGTTAGCTCGTCCAGGAAGTTTGCAGCTCTTTTTTTCATAGCTTAGATGAGTGGACGAGCTCACAGCCCACCTGGTGTTAAGTGGTTACTGGAGCCCATAGACATCTACAACGTAAATGCGCCATTCACCTTGAGATATAAGTTCTAAGGTTTCAACTATAGTTACAAAAGGTGGGTAGTTACAACATCTCCAAAGGTATACACCTACCCAAGCAGTCTCACTTTGAGACAAATTTTGTTGAAGACGTTTCAGGAACTGCTTAGAATGATATGGTACTATTTTATCAATGAGAATATTGACAGTACACCAATGTACTGGAATCGTGTATTTTTTTTTTAATATTAGTACTATTCTAATTAAATTAAGTCTCCCAGTCAACGTTCTCGTCGAATCCGTCGCATGCGACGAAGGGCTCGACGAGTAAATTAACCCATAGACATAGCCCACTGAGTTTCTCGTCGGATCTTCTCGGTGGGTCGCGTTCCCGATCCGGTGGTAGATTCTGCGAAGCATGGCTCTTGCTAGGGTTCGTGTTAGGAACGTCGTCAGGTTTGAGCCCCGTGAGCTCACCTACTAGTTAAGGTTACGCTGAAATAGCATTGAGAGGCTATCCAGCTTAGGTAGGAAAAAAAAAGTCTCTTTTCATAAATCTGTTTAATGTGACAAACCTTCAAAGCGAGAGGGAGTTCGTTCCTGGCCCAGGGCGATGCGTTTCCCTCCGATTCCAATCCCTCTCGGGACAGCCGCAGCCGCAGCTCGCGGACCATGTCGTCGAGCTCCCGCAGCGCTCGGACCTGCACGAAGAACCGGCGCGACCACTGCACCTCGCTGCCTTGCTGCTTGAACTGCTGCTGCTGTCTCAAGTGGTTCCACACCTGTGTAACGTTAAAATAGCTGAAGAAATTGAATTTGCCCCTTGTTAAAAATACGTAAGTAATTTATTTTTATTGCTTAGATGGATAGACGAACTCACGGTCAATCTGGTGTTAAATGGTTACCGGAGCCCATGACATCTATGTAAATGCCGCCACCCACCTTTAGACATGAGTTGTAAGTTCTCACTTTTAAGAGTACAACGGCGGCCCCACCGCTTAAACCAAAAAGCATTTCTGCTTCAAAAATAGGCAGGGTGGTGGTACCTAACCGTGCGGACTCACAAGAGGTTCTACCACCAGTGATTATGCAAATTATAATTTTGCGAGTTTGATTTTTATTACACGATGTTATTTCTTTACCGTGGAAGTCAATCGTGAACATTTGTTAAGCACGTATTTCATTGGAAAAAATTGTATTTGCCAGCGGGATTCGAATACTCGTGTATCATCACAACATACGAATGCACTGGACGTCTTATCCTTTAGGCCACGACGACTTTAGTTAATTTTCAATAAATTGTCATTAATTGTTTTAATAGAACCAATCTATACCTATCTATACTACACTAATCTATACATATAAATAAAATTGGAGTGTCTGTTTATAATATTGAAATAACCGCTTTTTACTATATCCATATTAATATAATATATACGGTACATACACCAAAATATTTTTTTTTACAATTTTTGTCTGTCTGTTTGTTCTGGCTAATCTCTGGAATGGCTGGACCAATTTTGACGAGACTTTCACTGATAGGTAGCTGATGATATAAAGAGTAACTTAGGCTTTTTTTAGACTATCTTCGCCCTGCGGTGTCACCGGCGGTACGACAATAACCGCGGGTAAAATCGCGGGACTCAGCTATCAATAATAAAATTTAATGTTTCCGAAACGAAGCGGGGGCAGGTTGATAGTCAGATATATATTTATAAGTGTATTGATATACGAAGTTGCGTCAGACCTGACTGAATACAGTCGCCTGGAGAGTTGAGATAGCACTTCGGGCGGGCATCGGAGACCACAACCATACCACATGTTACTGCAAGTAGCAAGTAAATTTCAAATAGTAGTTTATGTAATAAATTTTAGCGAATTCCAACCTTATAGACATTGAGTAGAGCAATACAGTCACTGGTTGAGCCGTCCGCCCAAGTCAACTTAGAGTTGTACGCATTTAGACGCTCACGGAACGGACTGTTGAACACGTTTTTCACAGACATTGCAGCGGCTGTTACAAAACACAATAAACAATTATCTAAATACTTATATTAGAATTGGAGTTTTATTATCTATCTATCTATTGGGTTTATGGCGATTCCTTTTAGATTTCGCCAATGTGAAGTGACAAGTGTATTACTCTGCTTTCTATAGCTTTGAGATCACAGATTGTAACTAAATATTAAGTGAGTAGCTAAGAGGAGTTGTATTAAAGAGTAGAGACGGTTCAAAATGCAATTTAATAGCGTTCAAAACATTCAGTGATCATAACCAGACATAAGTATAGAGAACCTATATTCATCATAAGTAAATGTTGAATATAAATATTTTAATTAGGTTTTAAACGTAATCTAGTTCCACTTTAATTGTAAATTCTGCATTCGCATTGCGAGTCTGTTGTAGTAGTGAAATACTTGTTAATTAATCGATATATCAATCGATACAAAATACAAGTACATCGGGTATCTAATCGTTTAGATCACAACAAATTCGATTCCAACATTAGCAATTTATCATGTATACTTTGTTTCTGTCAATGAATCTAATTTTAACCGATTACCCACTTACTAAACATGAATTTTAAAATTAAATGCAGTGAAAAAACCTAGGCAAATTTCAGTTTCAGTGTTAAAAATCAACATCACTATCCCTATGTTCGTTTTTGAAAAGTGCACCTATATAGTATAAAATCTTAATACGCATCACTGCATAATATAGTATACATAGTATGCTTAAATCTTTAAAACTACGCAACGGATTTTGATGCGGTTTTTTTTAATAGATAGAGTGATTGACGAGGAAGGTTTATATGTATATAATAACATTCATTAAATAGTGGAGAAATCAATAATAAATTACAGTTTCCGAAGGGTAGCGAGGGGGGTCGCTAGTTTAATAATAATATGTACCCATTATGACACACTCGTCCAGACATCCGTAGACATAGCCGAGCACTATCAGCTTAGATGCTCGTACATCAATGGGCAATTTTGCCATAATACGCCCCATATAAGTGAGGTCACCATCCGAGGAACTCCACTCGTTGTCTAAAGTCTTTTTTAAAGCTCCAATCTAAAGAACATAAATATTATTATGATATATTATTGTATTAACATTGAAATTATGGGAACAAATTATACTATCACATAGCAAATTAAATTTTGTTATACTTATTGTAAAGTACACATCAATTTGGAAACGCATAAGAGCGTACTGATGTACATTATGACGTCTCTGATAATAGACAAAAATGGCGGGGGGTGTTTATGTTAATATATAACAGATTTTTCATAAATCTACCAACTCAAACACATTAAATTTAGGCCATGATATTTAAACCACTTACTTCTTTTAATACAAGTACAGTTCGATGTATGTTAGACATATCAGGTGGGTCCATGGCCAACGCCAGGATATCACTGGGCGGACCCATATCCAGCATCTTAGCAAGTAATGCTAGCCTTTCTAGTGGACACCGCACTATCTCAGGAGGACATTCATCTCTCAGGCTATCCTGTTAATAAACAAAAGCTCAATTTACAAAAATTGCTAGTGAAATAAATATGTAAATTCATAAATATTCATAAATATTTTTTCTTTTTTAAATGTAACTATATAGTTATCTGTGGTTAATTCGAATGCTAATTTGAAATGTGATAACCATTTATGTCGTCTGTGCCTAATTCGAAATTTAAATTAAAATACTTACGTAAAACTTATCTGTGACTAAGCGATATACGCGTCCGTCACGCACGCGGCCCGCGCGACCGGCCCGCTGCTCGCAGTTTGTCTTCGAGGCCCAACATAACTTCAGTGATGTGAAGTTTGTGATCGCGTCTGCTTCTAATACTTTCATTAGACAGAAGTCCACCACTATAAAAGGTCAGGAGTGAATTTATTTGAAATATTCGTTTTTGAGTGTTTAATGTTAGTTTATGTTTCGCATTATGATGATAACAGGTTTTTATGTCTAAAGAGTTTTTACGATAGTTACAAACTAAATGTCTGTTGGCGCAGCACTGCTGTTTACTTAACTAAGATGCGTTAAAGATGATTGTTATAAGTTCAAGGCTTTTTTTACCTATGCTGATAGCCTTGAGAGGCTATTTCAGCGTCGCCTTGACGTGTAGTTGAGCTCACGGGGCTCAAATTGGAGGGTTGCTACCACTGGCCCTATCAAGAGCAGTGGTTCGCAGAATCTACCACCGGATCGGAAACGCGACCCACTGAGAAGATCCAGCGAGAAACTGAGTGGGCTGTGTCCAACCCTTGTAAACAATTGTTTAATAGAGTATTCAGAAAAAATTATGAACAAACTACCCTCACTGTTCTACTATAGATACCAAGTGACTATTATCACACGGTGTGATTCACACCATACATTCCGACTTGAGCAGCTGAATGTAGTGGACCAATCTGATGGCACCAGTCTCCGTCATATCATATTTATAATAGAGTACGAACCATATTTGATGTCGGGTACAGTGATGGAGCTTTCGGCGATGTTAGTGGAAAGAATGATCTTGCGGTGCCCGAGCGGCGCGCGTTGGAACACACGTACTTGTTCATCAGCTGTGATGGTAGAGTGCAGAGGAAGCACCCACCATTTGTAGTTTGCGCATTCCAAATCTGCTACTTTTGTCCTGAAATAGACAATCTTGTGATCAATCAATAAAATTTTTAGAACTGTAATATATATTTTTATTCATTAAAGCTTATTGATGCGAGCTTTCAAAATGTACCTTAAATCATGATCAGTAAGACTGGAATACAAATCTTCAATCTCATTGATACCGGGCAAAAATATTAACACAGACGGCAAGTCAGCTTCTGATCTGTCCATATAATTGTCTTCTTGCTTGTCAATTTGCTCAAATGCGTTCAACAGTTTGATGACTAGGTGATGCATTTCTGGATTTATTCCGGGTTCTCCATTTTTTGGCATTGAGTTTTGAAGAACCTAGAGAATTTGGAATTAACGCACATATTATGCGTATTTGTTATATTTCCTACATTTTGCCATAAAACTAAACAATAACCTGACACCGGGCGAAAGGCCGAAACATTTACGTAAAAAGAAAATTTAATTACAGAAATAATGAACATAATTATTTACTTTTAATTAAGTTTATCTACAAATCAGGAAGAAAGAATTACTATTATTAGTAATCCTAATTTCTTTCAATTTCTGGGCCTCTACATTCCTGTAATTCAAGAAGGTAAATTTATCAATTTTCGTTACATTACATTTCAACCAAATGAAACTTACCGAACCAAACTTATTTAAATGATTCAGATAAAATGTTTTGACAGTGAACATATGTTCCCTCTTCTCGACTTTGATGCAAGTTGACATCTGCAGTCCACGAGGCGTTGGTATCATGAAATAATCAGCAAAAGCTTTACTATTAAATGTAGCTGACATCAGGACAACTTTTACAGCTGGGGACATGGTGTATAAAAGTTTTTTCACAACTAAGAGTAGAAAATCCATCTCTTGTCCTCTTTCGTGAACTTCATCAAGAATAACATGGGTGTATTCATTCATTGTTTTGGCAGAAACTAAAAAATAACAAATAAATTTTTACCACAACTAATACCAATATTTTAAAACATTTAATAAATTAAATATTTTTAGATAATAACATCTATTCAGAAACTCTTTGTCATTCATTAATAAAGATCCATCAAATCACCTAGTTTCTGAAGCAGAACTCCTGTGGTAACATAATGTATACGAGTGTCTGTTGATGTCCGATTGTCTAGGCCGACCTAAAATTTGATAAAAAAATTAAATGAGTCGACTATTATCAAAGGCGGCAATCTGACTTTTGGACAATGATTGGTAAATCAGAAAAACGAATTATTGACTTTGTATTCCATTGGCAGTCACAAAACTCTTCGGAACGACATCTTAGATAAATAACAGGTTAACTATTAACCTTTATTTAATGCAGGTTTTGAACCGTATTCTTTGAAGGAGACGATTATATTCAAATAAATCTGTATTGACATATCAATAAATTTTTTTTGTCCAAATGTACAGATTGCCGCCTTTGATAATAGACGACTCAAATATGCAATGTCTATAAAATATGGTTTACACATATAATATTCATATATATCGTGGATATGGGGGTTATATATATATATATATATATATATATATATACATGACGAAACATTTATTATTTTATAATCTATGAATGACTGTACCTATTCTGCAGCTTCACAGAGAAGAAAAAACAAAAAAAAATACTCTGTAATGTTTATGTATAAATGGCTTATTTGGCTTAAATGGCTTTATTAACCTTTGTGAAGGTAGATCATTGTAGTATTAGGGAACATTAATGATCTACAATCCTATTAAAAACAACCAAGTAAAAATAAAACATTAAAGAACAAAATTAAACACCTGATATCCAACTAATCCCCCAACATCCCAGCCCCTCTCCTGAGCAACTCGCCTTGTTATAGATATAGCTGCAATCCTCCTTGGCTGTGTCACAATAATTTTACACGGTCTTCGGTTATGGTAACAATCATCTAATAACCATTGTGGGACCTGAGTTGTTTTGCCGCAACCTGTTGGACCTTCAATGATGACAACTGGGAAGCCTCTAATTCGATCTAATATCTGAAACATGACAGCATATGGAATAATAAAAGTACATTAGTCTTGACTTAGACAAGGCTAGGTAGTATTGTTCTAAGCAAGACTTAAATCTATTTAATAAGTTTTTTGAAGTTATGTTCTTTCTTTTGTAGGTTTGTTATGTTGTGGATGTAGTAATTTTTAACAGATAGATTATAAAATGTTCAATGAAACACATGCTTATGGACCATAAGTGTTTCTACACCTATTGATTAATTTAAGAACACCAAATTTTGTAAATAAGTCTGTTTGAAGAGAGCACAGCATCTGCAGGATATGAACATGAACAGAATGGATAGTAGGGTCCATGATTACCCTCAAACAAGCTATAATATTGTCCTTAAGCCAAAGCATCCACACCTTATATAGCACAGTATTTCTCATATGTGGAGTAACTTAAATTGAGTAGCTCAAATATTTTTTTTTGAATATCTGGGTCTACAGAGTGACTTTGGTTTTCACTGTGTTTGCAATGTATATTCTATGGGGAGTGCTCTAAGGAATTGTTTCCGATGATCCCATCATTTCGTTTTTTTCATTCAACCACCCACCACCAGAGTCGCGTTAATCCATACTACCTACAACCACTAGGTTCATCCACAATGTGTTTCTAGAGATCTACTGTGCAGCATCTGACTTTACAATGAACACTGAGTGAATGATGACATATCCTTCTTCAAACAAGGCTTACAGAGAATACTCAGCGGTAGACAGCAGCTTGCCTGACCTTACTGATATCCATGAACAATAGCAAACACTTACCAATAGGTGGACATCTGCCTAAATGGGCAAAAAAATACTTTGGGAATAGTCCATACCAAGATTTATATACAGTGGTTGACACTCTTATCTCATGTTTAAAATCAGTTTTAAGCCTGAATTTATATATAGTGGTTGACATTCTTTTTAAGCCTGATGTATTTACTATGATCTCAATATACCTAGAAGAACATTACCCCATCTCCTCCCATGAACATTGTAAAGGTAACTCAAGCATTTACCAGAGAATGGTCTGTAGGATTCTCAGTATTTCCAGTACACTATGATGGCCAACAGCATTAACTGATCATAGGGTGTATTCTGAGCCCGCACACACAGGAACTACCCTCTAAGCAGTCATGTACTCCAATTAGAGGGAAGGGGTAATAGTTATACAATATAAATTGAAACTTGGCAGCAATAAAATTTTTTTAGTACAGATTGAGTTATAGTAAATATTTTGCTTTTACTGTCAATGTACTAACTAATTTTATTATCTCTTTCTGCAGAAACAGTTTTCAGGTTGAGGTTGTTTGATATAAAAAGTAAAGCATTCAGTTTGAGAAACTCAAATAACAGATCCTGTATATCTTCAAGTTGTTGTTCAACAATTTTACCTTTAAATTGATATATTGTTCTTGATAAACTTTTCACTTAACAATTTACATTGGAGGTACTAAAATGTTTTAAAAGCAATGTTATATATCAGATTTACCTGTTGTTTATATGAATTGATTGCTAGATTATTAGCATCTTCTTTCTTTTGGAAAGAATATTTACTATACACTTCTGTCATTGCTTCATCATTGAGCTCCCCAATGTTCTGTACCGACGCACCAATTAATGAGAGTTGCTCCAAAGACTCCAAGCCGGCCGACATGCTTTCATATTGTTTCCGCTCAATTTCATTCTGTGAAAGAAAACATACTTTTTAGCTGTGATATCCTTTACTTATTTGATAAACAATATTCATACAAATTAAATTCTTGGGTAACTTTAAACTTTAACTCTAGCAAATAGCCAGCCCATTAATTTTGTTCAACAGATTCTATATGTAGGCACGATTATTTCCGGTTTAGCTGTGTCGTTGATATTGCCGAGGTCATGCAGTATAAATACCATTAAAAGCCGAACTTTTTTTTTTCCGGTGGTAAGAAATTGCAACCTTATTCAATTTTTATTTATACCTTTAAATACAGTTCTGTTTCTCGATCTTTCACTTCTCGAGCGTAATCCGTACCACTAGGCACCACCATATGCCGATGTGCCTCTTTTCTATTCATATCGTTCATTGTATCTTCTTTGGGAATACGAAAACCACCTGTTAGGGGACCGCGCAATTTTGTAACTTGATTACTCGATGGACATGGGGAATTGAAGAATGCTTTTAATTCATCCATTTTATTTGAGGAAGATCTTTACTAGATACGTAATATTTTCACGTTCTTTTGTTAATTTTGTTGTAATCAAAATATTTACTGAGTATTGTATTGCTTTTCATTCAATCACTTTACTCTTTGGCTTTTCAAAAAACGTAACATGAAGATGTGGTGTTGCAAAGAAAAAAAATAAAATAGTTGGAAAACTATAGGTCTACCAGGATCTGATGGCAAAAAGGGAAAAAAGAAATTGACGCTAGCAATACTGGAGAAATTGGAGTAAAATGGAAATGGCTTTTTGGCGGGAAAAGGAGAGCCGCGTATTTCAAATAAAATTTTATTTTATTTTAAATTAAATTGTCTTTTTCAACACAGAGTACTTATAATAGAGAAAAATGTCTTCAGAAAGTGATGGTGATGAAGACGGGTCTAAAAAGTCACCCGTAGACTTGAAAAAGAGGCGATTAGATACTATAAAATCGAACGATGTCGATAAGTATAAACCTTACTCTAAACCAGATTATAAGCGATCCTATCCGGATAATAGTAATAAAGAAGAGTTCCCCGTTTACGTACAGGGAATTAAACCGGAAGATAAGATCGGTAATAAAAATCCTTTGCAATTGTCAAAAATTTTCAAAAACGTGAAGGGCATCAAGGAATGTCGTCGAATTAATGCGGCCAAAATTATGCTGGTTTTCAAACAAGCTGCAGCTGCCAATGATTTTCTGAGTCACGTGAGCTTACGTGACAATAATATGAAAGCTTTTGTACCAGCCTCTTCGGTGGAGCGAGTGGGTAAAATTCGTTTTATCCCGAAGGAATGCAGTAACGCGGATTTATACCACAAACTAATGGCAGACTCTGAAATTGTTGGTGTTAGACGTTTTATAAAAAGAACTGGTGATGGTCTGGAACCCCTCACTACTATAAGCGTTACCTTTGTAGGAACTGTTCTCCCTCAGTATGTTTATTTAGACAACTGGCGTTACAGAGTTTTCACTTACATTCCTCCTCTGATGCAATGTTTTAAATGCATGGGATTTAGACACAGTGCCAAAGTATGTCGAAACGATCAGGTATGTTCAAAGTGTTCAGGTGGTCATTCCTATAAGGAATGCTCAGCTGAATTTTTGAAGTGTGTTAACTGTGGAGGAGACCACTTGGCAGTATCCAGGTTTTGTCCTCAAAAAGCGGCTCAGATTAAAAAACATGAGAATAATTATTCATCTAAAATGTATTCAACTGTATTATTGTCAAGTGATTTTCCTCCGTTGTTACCTAATGATAAATCAGTTGTAAAGTTAGCTCACAATAAATTAGCTCCATCTACTGTCCAACCTAAGAAACAAAAGTTATCACAAAATTCTTCACATAGCTCAACTGCAGTCCAGTCTGCTCCTTCTAATATTGGTTCTTATGATCAGCTCATTAAAGATGATCAGTTCTTGAGTAAAATTATCAAAACTTTAGTTATGTTAGGCAATTCTAATACAGCAAACACAACTGCTCACATTAAGGAGATCTTAATTCAAAACTTAACAAAATAATGGATTATTTACGATTAATGCAACATAACATACAGAGTGTCAATAATAAAAAACCACTTCTTAAATCTTTATTGTATGAAAATAAAATAGATGTGTGCTTGCTGAATGAAACTTGGTTAAAAGATTCTGGTCTGCCTTTTTATATACCTGGTTATATTTTTGTTGGAAAAAATGCAAAAAATGAGCATGGTGGTGTAGGTATTTTAATAAAAAATAATATTAAATTTAAGGTCTTAAAAACTACTTTCTATCAAAATATTCAATTTATAGCTATTTCTATAATAACAGTATGTGGTCCTGTCTCGGTGCTATGTGTGTACTGTCCACCAAATAATAGCTCCATTAGTTTGAGTACTTTGAGAAAGATTATTTTGCAATTACCCAAGCCTTGTCTTGTTTCTGGTGATTTTAATGCTCACAATATAGCTTTCGGTTGTGATACTTCCAATTCAAGAGGTCGTGAATTATTTGATATATTTGATGATGCTGATTTATGTATTTTAAATACAGGTGACCCTACTACTATTTCTAGACCTGGTAATAATGCATCAGCCATTGATGTTACTTGTGTTAGCCCTGATATTGCACCACTTTGTGAGTGGTATGTCGGTGACGACTCTTTAGGGAGCTATCATTTACCTACTTTTGTTAACATCATTACCTCAACTCAAAAATATACAGTTCAAGAGTCTATACATAAATATTTATATAATAAAACAAACTGGAATATGTACAAAGACAAATCCAAAGATATATTTGATAATTTTTCTCCTTCAACCGTTGATCCTTTAGTTCAATATGATGAATTTTCTAAATTGCTACTTAGTTTAAAAGAAAACTGTATTCCATTGTTAAAACATAAATCTTCTAGTAAAAAGTCTGCTCCTCCAGCTCCTTGGTGGAATGATACTTGTGCTGAGGCTGTAACTAAATCAAGAGAAGCGTTAGCTAATTATAGACGTAATATGACAATGGACAATTATATAGAATATAAGAAAATAGATTCTAGGAAAAAAATTATTATCAAACTGGCTAAGAAAGACAGTTGGAAAAGTCTTTGTTCATCTTTTAATAGATTCACTCCAGTATCCCGAGTGTGGAATTTTATTAGAAGATTTAAGAGAATTAACATTAATAGAAATCTGTCCAAAAATGATGAGTGGATAGAAAGTTTTTTAGAGAAGTTAGCGCAGCCTAGTAATAACAATGATAATATTTCTGGTTTATTTGAATTTAATGACGGAAGTCAGTGGAGCATGTTTCTAATTATGGGAAAGCTATTGGAAATTATGCTCAAAGCATAAAGGCAGTTGGTATGCAGAAATCCAAAAAGAACTTCCAAGTAAGCCATGGTATGATAAATATAAAGGAGCCAATGAACGTAAATTTATAACCATTATTAATCGTTTGAGGTTTGGCCACTGTCAGACTCCAAGCCAGGGGGGTGCAACTCCCATACAAAGGAAAATAACATACAACTAGCGTCATCTTACTCCTGTGGCGACGTCATTTTTGTAACTTTTAGGCATTAATGATCTAATAAACTCACTAGATGGCAGATATGAGTTCTGACTCAATAAAAAATGTAGCGTACTTTGAAGCAGTGCTTCCACTTTTAGGGAATTCTCCCTTTTNAATCATGATTAGTAAGACTGGAATACAAATCTTCAATCTCATTGATACCGGGCAAAAATATTAACACAGACGGCAAGTCAGCTTCTGATCTGTCCATATAATTGTCTTCTTGCTTGTCAATTTGCTCAAATGCGTTCAACAGTTTGATGACTAGGTGATGCATTTCTGGATTTATTCCGGGTTCTCCATTTTTTGGCATTGAGTTTTGAAGAACCTAGAGAATTTGGAATTAACGCACATATTATGCGTATTTGTTATATTTCCTACATTTTGCCATAAAACTAAACAATAACCTGACACCGGGCGAAAGGCCGAAACATTTACGTAAAAAGAAAATTTAATTACAGAAATAATGAACATAATTATTTACTTTTAATTAAGTTTATCTACAAATCAGGAAGAAAGAATTACTATTATTAGTAATCCTAATTTCTTTCAATTTCTGGGCCTCTACATTCCTGTAATTCAAGAAGGTAAATTTATCAATTTTCGTTACATTACATTTCAACCAAATGAAACTTACCGAACCAAACTTATTTAAATGATTCAGATAAAATGTTTTGACAGTGAACATATGTTCCCTCTTCTCGACTTTGATGCAAGTTGACATCTGCAGTCCACGAGGCGTTGGTATCATGAAATAATCAGCAAAAGCTTTACTATTAAATGTAGCTGACATCAGGACAACTTTTACAGCTGGGGACATGGTGTATAAAAGTTTTTTCACAACTAAGAGTAGAAAATCCATCTCTTGTCCTCTTTCGTGAACTTCATCAAGAATAACATGGGTGTATTCATTCATTGTTTTGGCAGAAACTAAAAAATAACAAATAAATTTTTACCACAACTAATACCAATATTTTAAAACATTTAATAAATTAAATATTTTTAGATAATAACATCTATTCAGAAACTCTTTGTCATTCATTAATAAAGATCCATCAAATCACCTAGTTTCTGAAGCAGAACTCCTGTGGTAACATAATGTATACGAGTGTCTGTTGATGTCCGATTGTCTAGGCCGACCTAAAATTTGATAAAAAAATTAAATGAGTCGACTATTATCAAAGGCGGCAATCTGACTTTTGGACAATGATTGGTAAATCAGAAAAACGAATTATTGACTTTGTATTCCATTGGCAGTCACAAAACTCTTCGGAACGACATCTTAGATAAATAACAGGTTAACTATTAACCTTTATTTAATGCAGGTTTTGAACCGTATTCTTTGAAGGAGACGATTATATTCAAATAAATCTGTATTGACATATCAATAAATTTTTTTTGTCCAAATGTACAGATTGCCGCCTTTGATAATAGACGACTCAAATATGCAATGTCTATAAAATATGGTTTACACATATAATATTCATATATATCGTGGATATGGGGGTTATATATATATATATATATATATATACATGACGAAACATTTATTATTTTATAATCTATGAATGACTGTACCTATTCTGCAGCTTCACAGAGAAGAAAAAACAAAAAAAAATACTCTGTAATGTTTATGTATAAATGGCTTATTTGGCTTAAATGGCTTTATTAACCTTTGTGAAGGTAGATCATTGTAGTATTAGGGAACATTAATGATCTACAATCCTATTAAAAACAACCAAGTAAAAATAAAACATTAAAGAACAAAATTAAACACCTGATATCCAACTAATCCCCCAACATCCCAGCCCCTCTCCTGAGCAACTCGCCTTGTTATAGATATAGCTGCAATCCTCCTTGGCTGTGTCACAATAATTTTACACGGTCTTCGGTTATGGTAACAATCATCTAATAACCATTGTGGGACCTGAGTTGTTTTGCCGCAACCTGTTGGACCTTCAATGATGACAACTGGGAAGCCTCTAATTCGATCTAATATCTGAAACATGACAGCATATGGAATAATAAAAGTACATTAGTCTTGACTTAGACAAGGCTAGGTAGTATTGTTCTAAGCAAGACTTAAATCTATTTAATAAGTTTTTTGAAGTTATGTTCTTTCTTTTGTAGGTTTGTTATGTTGTGGATGTAGTAATTTTTAACAGATAGATTATAAAATGTTCAATGAAACACATGCTTATGGACCATAAGTGTTTCTACACCTATTGATTAATTTAAGAACACCAAATTTTGTAAATAAGTCTGTTTGAAGAGAGCACAGCATCTGCAGGATATGAACATGAACAGAATGGATAGTAGGGTCCATGATTACCCTCAAACAAGCTATAATATTGTCCTTAAGCCAAAGCATCCACACCTTATATAGCACAGTATTTCTCATATGTGGAGTAACTTAAATTGAGTAGCTCAAATATTTTTTTTTGAATATCTGGGTCTACAGAGTGACTTTGGTTTCACTATGTTTGTACTGTATATTCTATGGGGAGTGCCCTAAGGAATTTTTTCCAATGATCCCATCGTTTCGTTTTTTCCATTCAACCACCCACCACCAGAGTAGTGTTAATCCATACTACCTACAACCACTAGGTTCATCCACAATGTGTTTCTAGAGATCTACTGTACAGCATCTGACTTTACAATGAACACTGAGTGAATGATGACATATCCTTCTTCAAACAAGGCTTACAGAGAATACTCAGTGGTAGACAGCAGCTTGCCTGACCTTACTGATATCCATGAACAATAGCAAACACTTACCAATAGGTGGACATCTGCCTAAATGGGCAAAAAAATACTCTGGAAATTGTCCATACCACAATTTATATACAGTGGTTGACACTTTTAAGCCTGATTGATGTATTTACTATGATCTCAATATACCTAGAATAACATCACCCCATCTCTTCCCATGAACATTGTAAAGGTAACTCAAGCATTTACCAGAGAATGGTCTGTAGGATTCTCAGTATTTCCAGTACAGTATGATGGCCAACAGCATTAACTGATCGTAGGGTGTATTCTGAGCCCGCACACACAGGAACTACCCTCTAAGCAGTCATGTACTCCAATTAGAAGGATGGGGTAATAGTTATACAATACAAATTGAAACTTGACAGCTATAAAAAAATTTAGTACAGATTGAGTACTAAATTTTTTAGTAAATATTTTGCTTTTACTGTCAATGTACTAAGTCATTTTATTAACTCTTTCTGCAGAAACAGTTTTCAGGTTGAGGTTGTTTGATAGAAAAAGTAAAGCATTCAGTTTGAGAAATTCAAATAACAGATCCTGTATATCTTCAAGATGGTGTTCTAAAACTTAAAAGCTTACCTTTAAATTGATATATAGTTCTTGATAAACTTTTCACTTAACAATTTACATTGGAATAATAAAATGTTCTTAAAGCAATGTTATTCATCAGATTTACCTGTTGTTTATATGAATTTATTGCTAGATTATTAGCATCTTCTTTCTTTTGGAAAGAATATTTACTATACACTTCTGTCATTGCTTCATCATTGAGCTCCCCAATGTTCTGTACCGACGCACCAATTAATGAGAGTTGCTCCAAAGACTCCAAGCCGGCCGACATGCTTTCATATTGTTTCCGCTCAATTTCATTCTGTGAAAGAAAACATACTTTTTAGCTGTGATATCCTTTACTTATTTGATAAACAATATTCATACAAATTAAATTCTTGGGTAACTTTAAACTTTAACACTAGCAAATAGCCAGCCCATTTATTTTGTTCAACAGATTCTATATGTAGGCACGATTATTTCCGGTTTAGCTGTGTCGTTGATATTGCCGAGGTCATGCAGTATAAATACCATTAAAAGCCGAACTTTTTTCCGGTGGTAAGAAATTGCAACCTTATTCAATTTTTATTTATACCTTTAAATACAGTTCTGTTTCTCGATCTTTCACTTCTCGAGCGTAATCCGTACCACTAGGCACCACCATATGCCGATGTGCCTCTTTTCTATTCATATCGTTCATTGTATCTTCTTTGGGAATACGAAAACCACCTGTTAGGGGACCGCGCAATTTTGTAACTTGATTACTCGATGGACATGGGGAATTGAAGAATGCTTTTAATTCATCCATTTTATTTGAGGAAGATCTTTACTAGATACGTAATATTTTCACGTTCTTTGTTAATTTTGTTGTAATCAAAATATTTACTGAGTATTGTATTGCTTTTCATTCAATCACTTTACTCTTTGGCTTTTCAAAAAACGTAACATGAAGATGTGGTGTTGCAAAGAAAAAAAATAAAATAGTTGGAAAACTATAGGTCTACCAGGATCTGATGGCAAAAAGGGAAAAAAGAAATTGACGCTAGCAATACTGGGGAAATTGGAGTAAAATGTTTAGATACTTTTTTTCCTTATAGCGGCTGATTCTGTGTGTGATACATGCAAATATAAAAAATTATGCAATGATCAAAGATAATGTTTGAAAATCTTACTGTGGCGAATGTGGGGTTCGAAATTTAGATGAAAACTCCAATTACTCTGTTCATGAATTTATTATTTAATTATAGGCTATCAGAACTTGAAAATGGTTGCAATACTGTACTGCAATTCATTCAGCTTTTTTAATATAACGATAATATAATCAATTTAATTAAAGTCTAGGGGTGTCTGGCAGGGGGTAGCAACTGTAAAAAGTATCCGGCAATGGATATCGTGATTTCTAAAGATATCCTAGAGAAAATATAAAAAAAAAATAACTTTATACTTTAACAAATTTAAGGTACTATTTTATATACCTTTACTGCCTGTTACCTGCCCAAGTAACCACAATCGAAACTATAGTCGCGGGTCGTTCTTATCTGTGTTGGAGACATACACAGAGAAACTTTCAGCTTTTATAAAATAACGATGGTCTGACCGTCGGGGGCTCTTGCTCTTTAAAGCACATTTCGATATACTTGACTGCTCTTCGAATTGTTCTGATAGAAACAAATACGTTGGATGCAGACTCTTTAGCTTAGCTCTTTAGCTTTAACTTACTGCTAGTAGCCTCGAGGGTTTGTATTGACTTCACCGAATGTGTAGGTAAGCTCACGGGGGCCGTTTTCCAATTACAGCACAAGAGCGCATTATGCGGCATAATGCTCAACCAAGCTTCAGCATAATTCGGCATTGTGCGTCACTGAGTCGCATTATGCTCTGTAATTGGAAAACTACCATTAAGTAATGGTTAATTACAGAGGATAATGCGACTCAGTGACGCACAATGCCGAATTATGCTGAAGCTTGGTTCAGCATTATGCGGATGGTTAATTACAGAGCATAATGCGACTCAATGAGGCACAATGCCGAATTATGCTGAAGCTTAGTTGAGCATTATGCGGATGGTTAATTACAGAGCATAATGCGACTCAGTGACGCACAATGCCGAATAATGCTGAAGCTTAGCTGAGCATTATGCCGCATAATGCGCTCTTGTGCTGTAATTGGAAAACGGCCACATAGAAACAAACATGCATATTTAATAAGCTGATAAAATCGTGTTGAAAATACACTAATGGCCTATATATATTATTATTA